TGGTCTACCTACCAATTCATCATGTGATACTATCAATGCTGGATACTATTGTCAACCAGAGATCTCACATTATTGGGGCCAATATTCTCCATATTTTTCAGTTCCCTCAGAGATTAGTGCCGCAGTCCCTGATCAATGTGAAATATCATTTGCTCAAATCTTGTCTCGTCATGGAGCACGAGATCCCACAGCTGGCAAGACAGCAACATACACGGCTCTTGTTGAGAGAATTCAAAATACTACCACGTCCTATGGAGCAGATTATAAGTTCATCAAGGACTATAAGTATACCCTAGGAGCCGACCAGCTTAGCGTCTTTGGACAACAGGAACTCATTAACTCCGGTATCAAGTATTATAATAGGTACAAGTCCTTAGCTTCATCCATCACTCCTTTTGTTCGTTCTTCGGGTCAAGATCGTGTCGTTGAGTCTGCTCAAAACTGGACGCAGGGGTTCAATTCGGCTCGTTTGGCAGATTCGTCATCCACAGCGAATGCTAGCTACCCATTCAACATCGTTATTATCAGTGAAGATACAGGAAGCAACAACACTCTCGACCATGGTCTCTGTACTGTTTTCGAGGATGGGCCTGACTCCACCATTGGGGACTCTGCTCAAGCCAAGTGGGCATCAATCTTCACCCCAAACATCACTTCACGTCTTAATTCAAACCTCCCCGGTGTCAACCTCACGATGGCTGATACCATATACTTCATGGATCTTTGCCCTTTCAATACTGTCGCCTCACCCACAGGAATTATTTCCCCATTTTGCAAGATCTTCACGGCTGCCGACTGGAAAGCCTACGACTACTACCAATCCCTTGGTAAATACTACGGATACTCTTGGGGCAACCCATTGGGCCCAACACAGGGTGTAGGGTTCACCAACGAGCTGATTGCCCGCCTTACAAATTCCCCCCTCCAAGACCATACTTCTACGAACCATACTCTAGATGACGATCCGGCCACATTCCCCGTTGACAAGTCCATCAAATTATATGCAGATTTCAGTCATGACAACGACATGACTGGGATATTCTCCGCTCTCGGTCTATATAATTCCACAAGCGCATTATCAAACACTACAAGAGAAGATGCGTTGCAAACGAATGGCTATTCGGCCAGTTGGTCGGTACCATTTGCAGCGAGGATGTATGTCGAGAAGATGACTTGTGCGGGAGAGAGTGAGGAACTAGTTAGAGTCATTGTCAACGATCGCGTGCTACCATTAGAAACTTGTGGTGGTGATGAATTGGGCAGATGCGGATTGTCAAAGTTTGTGGACAGTTTGAGCTTTGCTACTGCAGGTGGTGACTGGGAAAGCTGTTTCACTTCCTGAGTTGGATGATTTTATGATATGAAATTATAAAAAGCAGATTGCAAGATGAATTTGTGCAAAAGATAGTAATGGCAGGCTATTTCGGTAGTGTTCTTAGAAGTTCGAAAAGAAAGTTAGTTAATATAATCTTCAAACGATTAGCAATTTGCCAAACCCTGCGTCAACTCAATCAAATTCTAGAAACATAATACAAGATTCGGGATTTTTTTTACTTCAGTTGACATTTCTAGCACAAATATCGGGAGGAAAGAAACTTCTAAAGATTACAACCCGCGCAATAGAAAAATTCCAACGCCTTGCTTGAGTGTGGATGTAGGATCAATCCCACCCAAAAGTTCTTATATCCCAGAAAAAGGTACCCCTCAAAAAACTCCACCGTGCTTGGTTTGCAGACACCATTGGTATATATGCCTCATCTCCTGACCCCAATCCTTCAAATTTACAAACATCCAACAATACAGTCTATCGTGCAGCCTCAAAGTGATCATAACAGGTATGCTGCGCCTCCAAAGATGGTCAATCCAACTCCAGCCCACCAAACGAGGTCAAGATCGATGCGGTTGATAAGTGAAGGTTGCTCGATACCGCGACTTATGTGCTTGGCATTCTTGTTGAGAGGAAGAAGGTAGCCTTCTGAAGTTGTAGGTTCTTCGGGTTCGTCCCCGTATCCCAGCCACCGCTTCATTTTAGAGCTCGAAGTTGACGTTGCTGAAGTTGTAGGGTTGAGGGTTTCAGTTGGAAGCATCAAAGCAGGACTATATGCTAAAAACATCGGGTTCACGGGTGTTCCATCGAATTGGTAAAGATCAAGTCGAGTTAATTTCGTATAAGGATCCGTGTAGACTTGGAATTTCTGATGGTTGAAGTGTCAGCAATCCGATCTTGTTTGTATTCCCACATATCGATAACCAGTATAATAGGTGAGCGCAATCACAAACCTGAAGTGTCTCGCTCTGATTGTATCGTGTGTATGTTGCGGTACTGGCAGTGCATGGAACAGATTCCAATTGACGACCATCCACACTAAAGGGATTCAAACTAAGAGATCCATCCGAGTTCAAGACGAATTTACCGTGTTGCCATTGCATTATCGAAGACACACAGCTCGGTTTCGCAGCTACGGTATTATTAGTGATATTCTTTCGTGCAATAATCGTCTTCGCTCCAGTGTGGTGAAGGAATACATACGATTTGAGATCGCTCGATAATATGCCTCTTCATAGTAGCCATCTGCGGTGAAAGAATATGAGATTCCGGTATGAGTAGGCTCGAGTAGTGTATCATTGACTGGATTGTAAAAGCCCTAGTTCTTGATGTCAGCGCGTGCCAATCGCAATCTTCATGATCCAGCCATCCTGATTTACGAATAAAAACGTACTGGGCCAGTCAACACTGCGGCGGACTTTGTAGACCATGTTCCAACAAGCTCAGCTACATTTGGCTCGGCGGATACGGTTGACAGTAAATATGCGCTCGCGATTAATACTGACGGCAAAACGAGTGGTGCCATATTGCTGAATGGTAGTTGTCGATGAATAAGTTTTTGAATTGCGAGCATGAACTTCCATTTAGGGATGGAATTCGTAACATCGCTAATAAACATTCAGCCACATCTAGCGCCACCGCAAGCAGCCTCCACTGCAAATACTTAAAAATAGCAACATTTTAAATATTCTAGCTATTTGATTGCTCAAGTCTTTTTTTTCTCATCATCATTAGGCTAATTGATAAGCTTTGATAAGTCTAGTGTCCTTTTCTGATATTATATTCCAACCTTTCAAGGTTGTGTTTGTTCAGCGATTGGTGGTTGGCCCAAGAAGCAGTTTTCATACCTACCAACAATGGCTTCATCAGCAGCATTGAAATCAAGCAAGAAGGAGCTCCGTCTCTCGATTAAAAAGGTTCTGTCTACAGTTACAAATGAGTCCGTACATACTCAAAGTAAGTATTCTGGTTCATATTGGAGAATGAGTTTCACATTTATATACTGCCGGTTCATTAATTTGATTAGGCGCGGCTGTTCTTCACAGACTCATCAATTTCAAGCCATATCAACAGGCCAAGCGAATAGGGATATATCTTGCTATGCCGACTGGGGAATTACAAACTGATGCAATTGTAAGGCACGCTTTGGAATCTGGCAAACAGGTCTTCGTACCTTACCTTCATAAATCTACTTCTCAGTCACCTGATACACCTCGTTCCTTGATGGATATGGTGGACCTACGTAGCCTTGCAGATTTTGAAGCCTTGAAAAGAGATAGTTGGGGAATTCCCACGATCCCTGCAGAGACTGTGGATGAACGAGAAAGTATACTGAAGACTGTTTCGAGCAAAGGTGGTCTAGATATGATACTGTTGCCTGGGGTAGCCTTTGACATTGATCCTAAAAGCAACTTCATAAGACGCCTTGGTCATGGAAAAGGTTTCTATGACTACTTCTTGCATCGATACAGGCAGCAGTCAGGGTCACAAATGACAGATGCAGCGAATCCAGGAACAAATGTATTGCTCTATGGTTTGGCTCTTGAGGAGCAATTCTTGAACTCTGGAGCAGAAATCTCAGTACCAGTAGGAGAGCATGATAGTCTTCTCCACGGACTATTGTTGGGAGATGGTGAGATTAAAGATGGTCTTGTGTCCAGAGAATAGATCCACCTCAATATAAACAACTCGATAGAAAGCCAGATGACCGAAGAACTCCCCTAAAACTCATGGTCCAGGTCTTACAGTACTTTTTGTTCTCGTAACAACCCTTTCTGAATGTACGCCCTCCCATAACCTCTTATCCACTTGCGCTCTGGATTAACGAAACATTATCACCCTTCAAGAGAATTTGTCCTATATCGTATTAGTAAACTGTTCCTTAAAATTCACATAATCTGAAAACTCACCCAGCGCCCTGCGACTCTCTTCTTTATCCTTTGTAGCTTGTCTGACCTCCACTGCATCATCGAGCACTAAGTTCATGAACTCGTCGAAACCCTGATAGCGCATCAATTAGAAAAGTATCATCGTAAGAGGGGGGGGTTTTGCGCGCACTCTGATCTTTCCTTCAATTCTGATTCCCAATTGCTCGTATAACCAAATAGACACGGGCGTATGCTGTTGGAGCAGCTTGAAAATGAAGTTGATTGGGGGAAGAAGGACCTTTCGGCCACCTCCACCGCCTCGATTCATGATGAGTTTTGTTGATTTTTGTTAAAGTGATTACTCGTAAGGACACAGTCTGTAAAGACTATGACTGTTATTCAAAAGATAGCTTGAGTGGTGAGAGAGTTGGGTTTGAATCCGTTAAACTCCTGATCAAATATTTAAAATTCTCGACGCGGTTGGTTAACGGGCACCTTAAGCTTGTCTTTCCACAAGGCTGCCAAAACGGCACTAAAACTTTATTTCGCTGCGGCAACCAACAACTTAAACGGGCAGAACAAGTCAACCCTCCCTCCATCACTTCTACAACAAAAGAACATTTTGATTCTTTCCAAGAAATCCTGCAACCACAAAAATTTCATAACAGATTCCTGATACACTTAATTCTTCTTTTCTCGATTTCTCTGTATTTGGTAATTTCTTTGCTGATACATTTACGAACTGTACATGAATACATCTCCCCGTTAATTTGTTATTGTCTCCCAAGACCTACCCCTCCATCAAAATGGTCGCTGTTGCCACGAACGGGAGTGGGCCGCAAGATGCCTTCACTCCCGTTATTGCGGCTTTAAATACTATGCGCGATGGTCAGAGGGGACAGAAAGAGGCGGCGCATAGTTTCTTAGAGAGTTTCCAGAAGTCGGTAGGTTGCGTTTTCTAGTCTCAATACTATTGCGCCAAACTAGTTGTTGACACAGGCTCACTTTTTTTGTAGGCGGAGGCATGGCAGATCACGATTGGCATCCTATCATCAAATGCTGAGCCAGATGCGAAGCTCTTTGCGGCTACCACTTTGAGAGGAAAGGTATACATGATCACAAACCCCACCTATTCAGATTGAAATCTAATCTTGTAGATTACATATGACGTTCAACAAATACCAAGCGATTCCTTACCAGCTCTAAGAAACCAGCTTTTAGAGCTGTTGAAAGTGTTTGCGACAGGGCCACGACCGATTCGAATCCAACTATGTGTTTGCTTGGCCATTTTAGCTATACAGATGACAACTTGGAAGGATGTAGTGCCGATGGTAGTATCAACGTTAGGGAACTCCGCAGAAAGTCTCGCCTGCGTTCTAGATTTCTTGAAAGTTCTTCCAGAAGAAGTCACCGAAGGACGAAAGATCACTTTGACAGTATGTGGGCCGAAATACACCATTCCCGAAGCATGTGAAACGATGTGGAAAGGTCGAGAAGTTATTGGGAATATCAAAGTCTAATGCGTCAATTAGGAAGATGAGCTTCAACAGAGAACTCAGGAATTATTGGGAGATAACACCGCCCAAGTGGTACAACTGCTGATTGCATATGCACAATCGTCTGGTACGTAATAATTGCTTTTGGATACAGTTGCAGGACGCTAATAAACACCATACAGAATCTGCTGCGACAAATCCACAATTACTTGAAGTCATCACATCTTGGCTCCGCGAAGTACCTGTCGCCGACATAGTTAACTCGCCTCTTTTACCGGTAATATTTAATGCTCTGAACAACGACCGTTCCTTCGAAGCAGCAACAGATTGTCTTTGTGCTGTATTTAAGGAGACTCGTGAGGTTGATGAGTACATGCCTACCATCGAGATACTTTTACCTCGTGTATTAGCACTTCAGCCTCGCATTGCGCAAGCTGCCCAAGAAGAAGATTCTGATTCGTTCAAAGGCTTCACTCGCATTTTCGCCGAAGCTGGTGAAGCATGGGTCGTCTTGATTGCTCGTGAGCCTAAGGTCTTCCGACCTTTGGTTGAGGCAATCTTGGAGTGTACTCACAGAGATTTTGATAAGGATGCCATATCTCTTACTTTTATCTTCTGGTATGAACTCAAACTATATCTCATCCTTGAGATGTACATCGAAGCTCGTATGCAATATGTGGATGTGTACTCTAGTCTCGTTGACATCATGATGAAGCATCTGGAATTCCCTACAGCCGATGGCGCAGATGAAACGGACTTGTTTGATGGCGATAGGGATGCAGAGGAAAAGTTTCGGGAGTTCCGTCACCATATGGGAGACGTTCTCAAAGACTGTTGTGAGATTATGGGCGTTACACCATGCCTTACGAAAGTTTACGACGCTATCAAGGCGTGGATGGGCTCCTATGCTGGTCAGGCAACAGCAGCCTCTGTGCCACATTGGCAACAGCTCGAAGCACCTCTCTTTGGCATGCGTGCGATGGGGCGATTAGTCGATAGGGATGAAGACATCATACTCCCTCAAATCATACCTCTCCTTGTTCAGATTCCTCATCACGAAAAACTTCGATTTGCAACTATCATGGTATTAGGTCGTTACACGGAGTGGACTTCCAACCATCCTGAATTTCTCGAGTCTCAATTCCAGTACATCGTATCGTCGTTCACAACAGACTCGAAGGAAATTGTTCGAGCAGCTGCCATGGCAATGAAATTCATTTGCAGTGATTGCAAACACTTACTCGGTGGGCAAGTAGTACAACTGCAACAATTTTACGATCAGACTCTCGACAAGTTACCTGGAGTTAGTCAAGAAGAGCTAACAGAAGGTGTTGCATCTGTTGTTGCTGTTCAACCGCCATCACAAACATATCAACTCATGAAATTATATTGTGATCCATTGATGTCTAGGCTAATGGCCTTGGCAAATCAAGCTAACGATGAAGAATCAAAGCTTAAAGTGGCTGGTAATTACTTTCTTCTGTTGCACTCACCGGATAATCACTGACAAATGTTTAGATCATATGCAATTGATTACCTTATTCATACAGATTGTTACTCCTTGGATTGAGTCAAATCAAGATCACCCAGCTGTAAAATACTGCCAAGAGATCTTCCCAATTCTGTCGACGATTTTAGATTCATTCATGACTTTCACTCCAATTTGTGAACGAGTTTGTCGCACATGGAGATATATGATCATATCTTATCGAACATCAATGGCTCCTCTCCTTCCTCAAATGGCCAACAAACTTGCAGAAGGTTTTGCAGCGTCAAGACAGGGCTGTTTCCTCTGGGTTACTAGTGCTATCTTGCGTGAGTTTTCCGAGGACAGAGAACACGTCGATGAACAAACCACGGAGTCAATCTACACCTTCTTTGAAGCCCAGTCGACAGCGATGTTGAAAGCCATGGCTGATCTCCCACCCCAAGATCTCCCTGACGTCATCGAGGATTTCTACCGTCTTCTACTTGATGCTTTGCTCTACTACCCTCACAAGATGATTCGATCGCATCTATTTACGCCAATATTCAGGGCTGCCATCGCTGCTTTAGATCTCGAGCAACGCGAGCCTCTATCTGCGGTTCTACACTATATTCGAGATGTCATTAGCTACGGTGGTGACAATCCTTCAAGTTCAGCCTCCAACATCAATCCACCTGAGATTCAACAACTGGTTAGGCAGCTTATTCTCGCTAGTGGCAATGAGTTAGTGAAAGGAATCATGAAAGGCATGATGATTAGTTTCCCAGGAGACTGCTTTACCGATGGCAGTGGCGTTCTTCTTGGTTTATTCGAGATACTTCCACAAGAAACTGCCAGCTGGGTTGATGGAATTCTACGCATGTTGCCAGCTGGAACCGTCAGGGAAGCAGAAATTGACCGATTAATGAACAGTATTCGAGAAAAGCTGAGTATCGGCCCTGATGGTGTTCGAAAGGTTCGTAGCTTATTGCAAGACTTTACGAATACCTATCGAAGACGTTATGTTGCTCCCAGGGATGGGTTGGGCCGACTTGAGGCCACTAGGTTTCAGTATAGTGGTTAGAGCTCTTCTCATTGTTAAATTTATACACTCAGGGAGAGTTTTCGTATTCGACTCTATTTTCAGTGGTAGCGATGGCATAGCGATTGGGTTGGTGGCTGGTGGGGATTTTCACTTTTTCTTGCCAGAAAGTAGTTATAGCGTGGTGAAAAGATTCGGGAGGAAAAGCCCGAGTGGTCAGATTCGGACCGGAGTTGGGATAATATTGGTGAGTACATTTTGGGGGCATTTTATGTGGTCATATGGACAGGTGAAGGAATGGGACAATTTAAGAAGCATGTTGCGTGGCCTTCTTCGCTGGGGTTGTGGATTGTAGATGATTGTATGATGTGATATGTGATAGCATGGAGAAATGACGGAGATGTGGCCAGGAATGGAAAAGCGCAAGATGGGTTTGGGCTGGAATTAGAAGCGAGGAAATTTATGTTATCTTGTGGAAAAATGATGTGTGGTTTTCATGTTCACTTGTGTTTGATAAGTTAATTTTACTCGATGAAGTGTGCTTGTGTACAAGGACCCGGTGTGGAAGGTTGAATATTGGGACTTGTAGATGTTCCAGATTCGTAGGTGCAGTACTTCTGATAAGTAGCATAATATAATATCTCCAGGCGCCCTAGTTGTGGATGCGAGATGAAATTTGGAACTTTGGAAAGTGAACATTCTTCCAGATGTGATATGATGAAAGGACTTGACGTAGAATGTATGATATGATATTCACAGTAAGGAAAGGAGGAAGAGGAGGATACCTCGTGAGCATGCATTGAATGTGACAACAAGAACGGTATATTGATAAAGATTCTAATTAGTATTTGTAGATTACCCATATTTTATAGTAAGCTCACAACCTGTATCTCATAAACTATTTCGTATTTCAGGCTTCAGACTTCGAGCTCCGAGCTCGGGTACGAAAACATATGAGAGAATTCCTCAGGTTTAATGCTCTGATGTAGACAGATATGCAATGTAGATATTTGAGAAATATTAGGATATAAATGGAGTGAAGGGAGAGGAGATTGATTGATTGAATGGAGTAAGAATAGGATTGCTTGTTATCAGGGAGATTGTGGATATGGTTATGGATATAGCTATGGGAAAAGTGATACCTAGGTATCAATCTTCCATCTCCAGCTTGGAGTGTATGTTTGCAAGAATGATATACTGGACAATAGTCCAGAGTTTCGAGACACACACCAACTCACAGGCTTAGCATCAAAGACTCGGGTTCTTACCATAAATAATTAAATCCCACATGATCATTACGTTTCATTTTTGTAAATTTATTATCTATTTCATTTCATTGAAGTCATTTTAACATACATTTCCGTTCCGGCATTGCCAACCATTTCTTGAATGTTACCTACAGCTCAGACCGGCAACATTGATTCCCTAGTCGGTCTGAAAGTATAAATGGGTGCCGAGAACATGGTATTGTAACGCTGAGAACGCATCGTACGTATCGTATCGTATCTCTAGAAGAAGCCAAAAAAAAAGGAAAAGCGAAAAAGCAGCAAGGGTACATAGATGTGAGTCCAATGTCTGTCTCAGAGGACTGTCCAATGTCTGTTTCAAAGGACTGATCAGACAGCCTACTATGATAGGTGTCGAGCTTATAAAACGAGAAATTGGGATATATCGAAGACAATAATCTGACAAATTTGCACCACAAACTCCAAGCTGATCACAACTCCCAACCAACCCTTGACCAGAGGAAGTTATCCACCCATATGCACAATTATGAAACCTGTATGTGATGCGCCTTTCTTTATGGAAGTCATGGAACGCCGAAAATGTTGCAGATATGGAGCCACCAGATGCAGAAATGGAAAGGAAAGAAAACTTGAGAGTATGGAGACGGGGTATTCGTTAGTTGGGAACTTGGGGAACGAGGAGACGAGAGATATAACGAAGCTCATATGATCTAGAGTCCGCTGGGTCGAAGAAGTGACGGACTTGTTTATCATGAACATCGGTGACTGTTTATATTTGATTAGTAATTATGCTAGCTCATGTCCGGAAGAAAAGAACTTACAACTAAGTTGAACCTGATCAAAGAAATCCCGAATGACTTGATCAGATGTATCATCAACAGCAAGAAGACCATTATCTGGTCGAACAAATGTTTTTGGTGGAATATCTCTCATTCTTAAGAGCATTTGAAGAACGTTAATGAGGTCGTCACCCTGGTTAGCATAAGATTGAGGAGGGTTGTCAAGTGGCCACTGTCCATGAAAGTCTTCACCCTCCCAGCATTTGAAAAGCCAGGTGGACTTCTCAACACAGTTGAGAATGATGACGGTGACTAAGAACAATTCGAAAGAATACTTCGACGACTTATTAAGTAAACGTCTCTCGAGCTCATTCAACATGCCCTTGCACATTTGAGATGCTTTATTTTCGGCTGCAGCATTCAGTTGAGTGTGAATTATAGCAAACGATCTCTCAGTTGAAAGAATGGGTTTGGTCGGACCAGCTTCTTCATCAGGTAGACCTGGAGTTTTCGCACACATTTCCCATCTAATTTCCGAATCGACGAATATGTGTACAATTGCCCAAAACTCTAGAGCACGGCTAAGGAAATTGTCTTGCTTCTGAATTGAAACATTAAGAGCAGTTTGAAGAGTTGTCCGAATGAATTGAGAAGGCTCATTTTCAATAAAGATCGGCATCATGCGCTTAGCATATGCTTCAAGCTTGGTGGAAAGATCGTCATTATCCGTGTCAAGGATAAAAGATGTGAGTCCAGTTTCATCATCTTGTGCTTCTAGACACGGAAATGACGCGTAAATGGTGGTTCCTGGGTAGTGAGAAACTTCAATTTGGTAAAGTGAGCTTTGAAACGTTGCAGAACCTTTTGCGGCAAGGACTTGGTGGTGAGCAAGCACTGCATGAAGCTTCGCAGAGTACAAACAGAGCTCATGTGCAACTCGTGTTCGGATGCATGGTGTCTTCCACAAACGAGCACTCTCGACGCCCTTACAAGTATCACATGGGTCTCCTGCAGTGCATGGTTTCTTCAACATTCTGCAACGAAGACAAGAGCCAATCTTCCTGATATCAGAAACCTCCTTTCTGCGACCTTCATTGAACTTTCCTCGAACTTTGGGTTTGGTCGCCTTTTGGCCATTACCATATTCGGCGCTAAATTCGGTGGTCATTGGATTCATAGCAATTCGAGTATGAGTTTTTGGGCTTTGTGCTTGTGACTGACCATTTTCGAACGTATTCTCGGTGGGGTTGTGCTCTGGGTAAGTCATTTGACTCATATGAGCCATTTGATCTTGAACCTGCAGTGCTGCGACTTGACTTGCTGGCATAGGAACGTCCATCATACCCCAAGAATGTTGTTGGTTGTCAGAGTTTCCACTGAACAAACTATCGCTCATGGCATTTGCTTCAACAAGTTGTCGAGTCAACTTGTCTTCTGACAATTTGTCTTGGGCGACTGCATCTTCGCTCAACAACTGAGGATCCACCATGGATGGGATGAATCTAGTTGCTGCTGCTGCTGTAGCAGCCATCGAATTTGGGGACGCAGATTGAGAGCGACCAAGACCATGTTCATTGGCATGACCTTTTTGATTAATACCTGGAAGAATTTAGTATCAGACAGGCAATAGAAACATTATTTGCACTGACCCTTTCTGTCGCGTTGGGTGCGAGACTCGTAACTCATAGGTGGATTGTCAAGAGTGTATTGCTCTTGTAACTCAAGGTTATCTCCACGAGACACTGTTGCTTGATTTTCGCCCAGAGGACTTCCATTACCAGGCCGGTGGTTGCGGTGCTCCGACTCAGCCATGTCCCTGGAGACTTCTGCCAAAGTTTCAAGCGGTGTCATTCCTTGAAATGGTCTTCCACGGATGGCAGTCGTCTGTTGATTGTTTGCAGTTTGAATGTTTAGATGCTGGTTATTAGACCGATCTGCAATCTCGGGGAGATTGTTAAACTCAAGAACAAGCCGCTGCTTCGTAGCGCGATCCAACGCGGGGCACTTCCTGCAGATATGACTTGTCAAAGTGTCGAGTCTTCCTTTAGGGAATTTCTCTGAGCAAGCTCTGCAAGTATGATGGTAGCGATTGCTGGAATCATTTAACTTTGCACCTCTTTCGAAGTACTGAAGAATCAACGCTGTTGATATTTGTAGTCAGTAAACATTCTTGTTTATAAGATGAAAGATCGGTGGGGGATGACTCGAGTTTTTGAGAGCTTCAAATTGAAGCTATCGAGAAATTTCCAACGGGGTCAACTTACGGTTAGGTTTGCGACCCATCTTGCCGTATTAATCACGTTGATTCTTTTGTTTGGATACTGGATTGACTTATTTCAAGAATAATCAACAAGAGTTGAAGAGTTGAGGATTCGAGTAATGCCAGTTTAATCCCTCACCGACAAGTAAAAGGTGTTGGCGGTGTAAGGGGAGTCGGAGTGGGTTAATTATTATTCCGAGTGGGGGGCTGACACTAGATACGGTGACCCGAACCACTCAATACTGTTATGACCCACATTCAGCCACCGTTCAAACCTGTACTGTTAGGAGGTGTAGTCTCATAGTACTCCTGTTCTGTGTTTGTTTTTTTGAACTCTTTGAAGACCACTCCTTTCACAAATTCAGCATCAAAACAAAAGAATAGTAATGTATCTAAAAGGTGCGAAATTCTACTAGAATGGTCTTTTCACTTATAAAGGATTCACTTCCCTAAAGTCATTCACTCATTCATTGATCTGAATCTCCATTAACACCAAACTACCTACTGCGCAAACGTTATGACACCTCATCACAATAGTATGTACCAATGCTTTGTCAATCTACGTATGCCCTGTTCATGACAGAATGGGCGGCTTTTCATTTTCTGGAGGGTTGAAAGACAAATTAGAAGTCGCTCGCAGATTTGAATGCTCAGTTGAGCTATGAGGTAGCCATAGTCAACGTTACTGTGCTTTGCTATTCAACAAGATCGAGGAACTACAGTTTCGAGGGCCATTCTGCAACGTTTAATCCATTATTAGAATCCGTGACTATCCACGATAGGGCTTGCACGACCTGAACGCCGTTGACGCATGAAACAGATACATATCATGCAACCAGATCATGAACGCCTCGCAGACTCCTACAATCTTCATCTCTAGTCATTGACACGAATCAAGAGACAACTCTAGCGAGAAAAATAAATCAACATCCGAAATTTCCACGAATTGATACAAAATGAACCTAGGCTCGACCCACCGGACGAAGTTAATTTGCATGTGCTAGTAGTACTTGTATACCAGTATGGTGGCTGCCACTGAATTCATTGATTATCATTTCCTCTCTTGGACCTGTGCATTGGAGTTACTCTAGATCAGGGCGATAAGCTTATTATTGTGGCATTCCGGCCTGAGCCGGGAAAGTTCCCTTTCTTTAACTAGTAGGCTAAAGTCTTAATTCATTATTATTAGTGGATTCAGTCGCCTTAAATAGGAAGCTCCCTCGATATAAATTGTCGATATTGCTTTTTGTTTCGTCCACTCATTTGACACCGTGATACCAAGCACCGGTATACTAGCGGCAGATTATAGGTTATATGCAAGGCATTCACAACACGCACAAGGGGCAGGTATCAATCGTGGGGTATATGGGTCCTATGACATGTTGTAGAACCTCAAACAGGCGATCAACCCCGGTGTAGAGATTGTAGATTATTGGAAGGTACCTGATAAAACTATGTAAAAATCGGTTCTCTGCACTGCTCATTGGCGCTTCAGCAAAGATATAAGGTAACATGGTAGCATGGTTATCAACTTATTCTTAGGATCCTTTCACTGCCCCTGTCAATCCTAATAATAATGTCAGTATGAACCAATAATTAACAAGAGATCATCCCGTGTATTACACGCTTCGGTCCAAAGTATACACTATTTTCTTCTCGTTTCTCAATTCTATCCCCCAGAGGTATTTGGGTAATACCCACCATCTGCAGCACCTTCTACCGACCATTTAAGTATAAAACGTACTGCCAAGTGCTTGTGAAATGGAAGGCTATGCTTTTTTTCATCTCTGCTAATTGCTCAAGATGAAGTTTCTGTCGATCATATATCTGTGTTTTGCAGCGATATTTTCAGTCTCTGATGCTGCAGAGCTGGTTAAAGATGACACAACTGGCGATATATGGGAAGCTATTGAGTCAGCAACTACTTGTGCGGGATGCAACGTAAGTATATGATACATTTGTTTATATGTGCTTATCTCTTTGCCGATTTTGGTGATGGATATGAAGAAGCCTCTGCTCGAACTTTATTGGGGACATTTCTCTAATTGCTGATCAAAAACTAATGCTGGTGAAAACAGGCGATACTACTGCTACTCAAAGGCGTCGCGGCTCTTGGAGATACCGTCTTTGTTGACACTTTGACTGAAATATGTAAATTGGCTGGCGTGAGTTCTCCTATTGTTGTTGTTTTTCCTGGTTGAATATTTTGCTGATTTGCCTTAAGGTCGAGGATTCAGATGTTTGCGCAGGTGCAATTGGCCTAGAGGGGCCAATTATTGCACAAGACTTGAGAAAAATGACCTTAGGGTCACACACTTCACAATTGTTCTGCATCACATTCTTTGGATTATGTGGTTTTCCTGCTGTTACTCCATATACAGTTCCATTTCCAAGTCCCAAGCCTGCTACCCAGCGTCCAACTGTTAGTGGCAAAACACCCCTGAAAATCGTACATTTCAGCGATATTCACGTGGATCACGAGTATGAAGTTGGAGCGAACACCAATTGCACAAAGCCTATCTGCTGTAGGCCATATACATCCGCCGATGCGCCTGGTAATAACTCCTATCCAGCTGGCGAATATGGCAACTACAACTGCGATGCTCCTGTAAGCTTGGAAGAGAGTATGTACGCGGCTATAAAGGAGGTCGCTCCAGATGCTACAGCAACACTCTTCACAGGTGACATAGTTGAAGGTGCTGTCTGGCTTGTGAATTCGACTGGCAATATTGCGGATATAAATGATGCTTATAGTCGAATGTCGGGTTTAAACAATCTCTTTGCAACTACCGGAAATCATGAATCGGCACCGGTCAATTCTTTTCCCCCAAAAGCAGTTAGCGTCACGACTAATCAATGGGTCTATGATACTCTTTCCACGAATTGGATACCATTTATTGGCTCTACTGCTGCTTCCTCAGCCGATAGCTTTGGCGCATACTCGACGCTCCTACCAGGAGGGAACCTGAGGATCATCTCTATTAATACCAATCTCTACTACAGATCTAACTATTGGCTCTACGAAGCGACTATGGAGACTGATCCTTCTGGACAGCTGGCATGGTTGGTCACTGAACTTCAGGCTGCTGAAACTGCTGGCCAAAGAGTTTATATTATTGGACACATGCCTATGGGGTCTAATGATGCACTTCACGATGGCTCGAACTACTTCAACCAAATCACTCAAAGATATTCCGCTACTATTGCTGCTCTATTTTTCGGTAAGTTCTTTCTAACTTACCATCTTTTACTCGTTAACAAAATTAGGTCATACTCACCGCGACCAATTCCAAATCACATACAGTAACTACAGCGCCCAAACTGCAGCCAATGCTCTCGAGGTGTCCTACATCATTCCCTCCATGACTCCCACCTCCGGTTATCCCGCCTTCCGCGTCTACTCCGTAGATCCAGTAACATACGGTATTCTTGACTTCACAACCTACATCGCAGACTTCTCTCTCACCTCATCCACGCAATCAGCTCCAACATGGAAACCATACTACTCTGCTAAGGCTGCCTATGGCCCTCTAGTAACCCCACCTCTCACTTCCACAACTGCAGAACTAACTCCCGCCTTCTGGCACAATCTCACCACCGTATTTGCAAGTAACCCTACTGTTTTCAACCAATATATTGCGCGGAAAACAAGAGGGTATAATGTAGAAACTTGTACAGGTGATTGTGCAACGGAGGAAATCTGTCAGTTGAAAGCGGCGGAGAGTCAATATAATTGTGCGACTATTAAGCCTGGTATTAGCTTCAGGAAGAGAAGTGAAGGGGGCGAGCGATTAGAGAGAAGAATTGGCGACGTAGTGGAAACCCTCGGGGGAGATTGTGAGGGTAGTGTGATTAGGCCAATTCTTACAAAGTTGGCGGCGCAGGAGGGATTGCTGGAGAGTGCATTGGAGATGGCGAAAATGAAGGCTAAGAAGTAGAAAGATTTGATGATAAGAGGAGGATGCAATTTTTCAAACCTCGAGGTTGGGCTTCGAATTGATGAGTATGCATGTCATACTTTGATATGTGTATGCTCGATGTTGTGAAATAGTCTTAGCGGTATACCCGAACCAGAAGTTTTGTCACATGTCTGAGCAGCTATTGAATGCGTGAGTTGTTCAGGGGGACTTCGTCAGAGCATAAAAGTAAGTCGGATCAGGTATTGCGATCCCTCAAACCAAGCGGAAGTAATGTTTGCAGTTGGTTACTTGCTCTTCTGTATCACAGAGGAATGCTTTCTTTTACACTTTGATGTTGTTTTCTGGGTTTGCTTCAAGTATCTCTCTCGCATTGGCTAATTGTTAATCTCATCTTCAATGAGAAACTCCGTACAATCAAAGCTCTAGGAAGCTAGTGATCTGGTTTAGTGGCTAAATAAGAATTCAGTATCATAGAAAAGCCAACATTGCTTGTGTGAAGCACAGGAATAATCACTGAACGCTGTATATGACTCGTCTGCCTGTTCTTTAGCTCCCACTAGATACATCTTCTTACCTTAAAATAGAAGCTCTAGCACGAGATATAGCATAAATTTAGAGTAAAGAAGAAAAGCTAATATCTTTAAACAATTTGCGCATCAGATCGATTCAAAACCTACATTAGAATCTATGTAACCTTCAAACGATACAACATCAGCCTTAAAATCCAGTTTTCCCTTGACTCAGCCCTTTTCTCAAGCATTCTGAGTTCATGTTCAATATCCACATGCAAGTCATTCAGTAATGCTTTTGCGTAAGTAAAGCTTCCCATATTTTCCATTTCTGAAATTGCCAATTTCTTCATTTCTGAAGACATTTTCCTTTCATTCAATTTTCGCGATCTTAGGATATTGAGAAGTTTCGCATCGCCGTTCTCGGCTTCTTTCTCAAGAGCGTGAATGATTGGGAGGGTGAAAGATCCTTGATCGAGATCATTGTAGACAGTATCTAGATTCTTATCCTCTTCCTAGATGATTACCAGTTGGAAGTTAGGCACGGGTGTCAAAGTTTGGGTCTCGGTCAAACGAAGTTAAAACGTACCTTTGTGTTGGAAATGAGATCGTTATAATCGTCTCGAAGCTGATAGTACTTTCCCAGCTTTCTCATCAATATATCCGCGTCTACATCACGATTTTTAGTCGCTTCAGCACGCATCATACCTGCTGCCATACGAAATAGCCCTCCTGTTTCTGAGATTGTGATGTCAGTTTCGATTCAAAAATGTACACAGATATTCCACGCACTGTCTTCGGTCTGCTTGAAATATTCCTCCAGACTGGGACATTTGCAATGGAATGTCCAATGTAAATCTTGACTTTGCCCAATGTGTAGTTGCGATAGAGTGTCTATAAAGGTTCAGATCAATTATAGTTTGCAATCATGGTGGATAAGAATGAATGTGACTCACGCGTAAAGCAATGAATAGATTCCTTGCTCAAAGCCATGACAAACTCGAGACATTTCACATATTGATATGTTGCCGAATTAATTGCTTGGCTAATCCCAAATACCTCATGCGCTGAGGGGCATCCGCGGCGTGTAGGGGAATTGTCTTCAATATCATCTAATCTGAATAATGTTATTGCTGGAATTGAAGAAACGCCTTTTTGATGATTGGCAAATCAATCGTTTGTCTTACATTAGAGATGTATTGTGGATGATTCCAATGACATGTCGAATGATTTCCAAGGACTCGTGTGGAACAAAATACCAACAGTTGAGTGCGTCGAGTAATGCATTCCTTGAGTTTGATGCTGGTAAAGATGAAATATATTTGTAAGGCTCTAGGACAATCTGAAAGATTCAGTACTGTTGAGGAGGACTTTTGAAGCTTGAGAATTACCTTATCTGCACCATTTTGACTGAAGCTAGAAGAATCGAAGTTTCCGTTTGTATCCGGAGTTTTGACCTCCAAGCTTTCAGGCGTCTTAGCAAACGATACATCATTATTGCTTGCAATCTAACAAAACTATCAGAATTTTTCAAGAGGCGTGTGTAGAGTCGAAATCACCTGATCTAATTCAATCTTAGACCGTTTACTATCACGTTCGCCATCAAAATCGATAGCTTCGATTTGAGATGCGGAGCGCTTCGTCTTTGTCTTCGAAACTGGAGTCGGAGCCCATGAGTTATACCGTTTAGAAGTAGCATGCCAAAATCGATTGCCCGCCACCGCGAGCTCGATAAGACCAAAAAATCGTATCGTATCTGGACTCGTGGTTTGTGTCCGAAGATATTCGTCCCTGATATTACAGTACTGCATTTCAAGGTCCAATATTTTTTCTCTAAGGAGTCCCCGGGCTTTAGTGTTGTCAACATCATGTAGATGCTTGAGAAGCCAGACAGCATTTACCATTGGCATGCTCCCATTAGTACGATTGTATTCTTTGTATTCTTTATCCCATGAGTAATAATCATTTGTCAGTACCATAGCTTGCAAGACAGGGAGAATGACCGGCTTTAGAGACGATATCTCATCGTTGTTCAAATTCACGTCTGCAGTGTAAAAAAGCATCTCCTTGAAAATCCTATGATCGTCAGTATTGTATACAGAATTATTGGTTAGAGATAACATACCAACCCCCGGCATCAAGAAATCGCCATACTAAATAATCGTCCAAAGTTTTGTATGATTTAGAATCTCTTTGTGGAGACTTGATCTCTAAAAATGGCCGATAGACCTCAAAGAATTGGGATGCTCCATCATGATCCCCTTGGTAGATCTGGAGTGCCATTCGGGCTTGGATGTTCTTTATCATACTATTACTTCTGTCGTGGTGATCTTTGCCGATAAATGAATGCATAGTTTGATGGGCTTTTTCGAACTATAAATGTGTTCAAAATTGAATTCTACCACGGCTTCTCTCAATTCTTACCTCCTCAGGGGTATCCTTCTCATCCACCATTTCTTGAGAATTTCAATCAAATGTCAACTCCAGCCCCTTCCATTAGGAATTCGTCACCATAAAAAATCACTTACCATCATGGATGAATGCATATTCAGATACGTAAGTCATGGGAATGACTCGATCTAGTTTTCCTTCGGGGAAAGTCGCTGCTCCAAAGTTTCCGCTTATCTCATTAACACAGCCGACGGCAAGTGCTCCTTTCCAGTCAGCTTTCTTGAGATCTTCACGGCACTCCCAGCTCGCATTTTCGATTGTCTGATTTGCCTCGTGAAGTCTTGGGCGAAACGTGTACGGGAAATCAGGGTCAATTTCGAAAGCTTCAACAGGATGGGGAATTGAGCGTTTAAACTCAATCGGTAAGTTACGATATTGTCGTGGAGTAGCCATTTTTGTTTGAAGAGACACACAAAAGGACTATGGTGTTTGAATTCGAAGCTATGAACATTTGGGGATAACTTCAACACTTGTATACAGAATTATATAGACAGGTTCGATCCGTGGCAGATATGAGTGGTCGATACCAGGTATCCACCATCACTGTGTCCTTGTCATATGGTAGAGACTTTATGCACATTCAGAACTCATATCCTTTTAGTGGAATGCTCATACACTAATCCCACCTAAACGACCTCATCTTGACCAATCAGAGCCCTGGTATCTGATCAAATTCTGTTTTGAATGTCACATTCCTAACTAGAAGTATGTACTACAGCATTCATGGTTGAAAGTTCTCTCTTTGACTGATTGGAAAGCTGGATCTTCATGATTTGGCTCTATTCAGCTAGTTCGATGAAACACAAAGCTGCGCTACGAATCATAAATACCTTGTTCCAATAGTTCCTTATCTTGAAGATAGCCCGAAATTGGATTAATGGTTACTTAAACACCCTATTTGGCACGTCTCGATATCTACTTTTCGTATTGGAAATAGTTTTCAATACATAATAACACTTGATATAACATTCTTAAATTAATTGTTGACCTCCGCGGTGATCGGATCAGCCAGCCACAACAATGTTAGTGTATGACTGCGAGATAATCCTGGTTAGTATTAGCCGAGAACACCTGGGCAAAAACCCTTGATGACGTTCTTGAGCTGAATATGTGCATATCATGCAAGACAAGATGCAGTATCCTACTCGGTGATGTTGTACATGCAAATGAATGTCGGGCTGAAAATTGGCGAACTTCCCCGCCAAAACTAGTCAAAACCCGCCTATTTCATAATTGAATCATGATTCCGGTTAAAAGGGTTAAGAGAAACATACTATATCGTGGAAACAAATCTCAAGAATCGATTTGTTTCTATGGATTAGTATTGTAATTAACGATTTGAGATTTGTATTGTTGTTCTAACTTATTTTGGTAAAATCGAACATCTTGCCCGGCATTCGTTGATAACACCGAGTAGAAATTTTACTTTAGTGCCCTGAATATCTCTCAACTCAGTCTAGCATTTGCATCCCTGTTGTGTTACCTTATCCACTCATGCCCTGTTATTGCATTTTATTCTAGGTAGAAGGTAACTGAGAGGGCATCAGCTACGCACGTCGTTACACGAGCGTTTCTTTTCGACCTCGCTCACTTTGACGCTCTGTCAAGCATTTAGTGCTTCTTCAATGGACCTCATGAATAAGCGAGGTAGTGGTAGTGAGTCAGTTCATACTTAAAACCGCATCAGGTATCGGAGTGATTAGAAACTAGTTGGTCTATTTTAAAAGTTTTGTGTTGGTATATCATTATTCTTGACTGCGCCGTCGACGACTCTGAAAAACTTTCAAGAATCGAGGTAGCGGATGATATAGCAAATTTTGCAAGTGCTCGAAGATAACGTTTCCATAGACTTTGCCATGGCCTCTGAAAAATGCACTTCTTGGCGTATTTGTTATCCAGTAGCTGTTATTCTGACAATTGATAATCATATCAACGGTGGTGGCTCGGTTCTTGTTGTCCATAAGATTGATTGCGTCACTAAGAGTGTGACACTTCTGACGAGAGAGTGTGGAAAATGGAGGCCATCTCAGCTTTGGTGATGGATTCAATGTTTGTGACTTCTAGTGTAGCTTGGTAGGTCTTCTCTGTCTTTTATATTCCAGATTCATTTCACAGTACCGATGCTTAGCTGCTCATATACTGCTCTCTTCATAACCACCACTCGAAGTTCCCGAGAGATTCAATGCTTCCTAAATCTTATAGGAAGCGTAACAGATATCTGCAGATAGAAGAACTAGAAACTAGGGATATCGTAAGACTTGGGGTGAAGTGGTGAGAGATGCCTCCTCATCTGTATTATTCTTGCCAGAAAACTCATCAAATATAGATCCGAATCACTACTGAAAAGTATACAGCCATAATCAGAGCTTCTCCACTAGACCTCCTTGCTTTCAGTCATTTTTTCCGAGCAGGTGGTTTGTCCATGTTTGAAATGCGGACATTTTGAGTTTCTGATCTCAAGTTGGCAGTGAATGCCGCATGGATGTAGGTTATTTGAGCTCGAGTCATCTCAGTTGCAAAGATATGAAATGAAAGTGGTTGTAGGGCTGAGTTGTATAATCTCGGTAAAAGTAGATGATATGGACCGGGAAGCTAGTTGGGTTCTTAGTTCCTCAACGCATCGGTGCTATTAGTGCTAGATCTTTCATCCGTATGTACAGATCCAGTATGTTCTCTTTCTCTCTCTATTGCATCACATGCCATGTTGCCTTCGTAGCTTCCAGCGTGCCATATATATATTGATAGCTTTTGATATTAGCGTATTAAAACTTGTGTATGTACTTGCTAATTGGTATGATCATAATCGATCTTGGTAGAGGTGATTAATTCACCATTTCGTGTAGAAGTTGAAACTTTGTAAGTGAATTGCTGTCCTTATTTACTTGTTTTTTGAAGAAGTGAATCACTGTGTTGATTCACCTTCCGTCACCTAGGCCATTCAGATAAAACACTCTCCCAAAAATGACCTTTGAACTTCCAGAATAATTCTATTTCCCAGCACTGCCGATTCAAAAAGTATTACTATTACTGAAAAGCTCTACGCCACTCCTTTTCCAATCTTCACATTCCTAGTTACCTCTCAATAATTCTTGATCGCTTTTGTCTCTTTGAGTACTTCAAATATCTCGTTTCAGATCAAATCACTTTATCACTGCTTTTATTCTTCTCATATCTTTCAAGACAACCTTCCCCCTCCTTCCAGATAACACTTACTTGAATCATAGCAACTTGGATAAATCCAAAACAGATTTCTACCACCATTTCTAGCTTACCGAGCTTTCTTCCTCCCCCAGGCTCTATCCGTTTGGCCTTTCTGCAACCCGATTCAATCAACTGCCTATCTGCATCACCATTTCACGAGCCTCTAGCAGTACCGAAAATCATCAACAAGCTCCTATACCACCAATTTTGGATCATTTGGGTCTTTCCACGGCCGAGATCCTAATCATCGCTGCTTTCAGCCTCCAGTCGTCAATGAAAAGGGGCTAGCTACACAGACCTACTATCTATTGCTTACTAGTAAGTTCCCTATCATGTTAAACTCTTCTTGCCATTTCCAGTCTATTCAACTGCATTTCCCAATTTATGAGAATGATTCAGGGTGGCTGCCAAGACCTTGACAGGTATATATAACTCCTCAACGACTACAGCTTGCTGATATTTGACACGTAGTTTCTACTTCTTTTTGGGGAGGGGGATTCTCAAACATTTTTGATATACTTCAATTTATCAGACTGAGCCTCAAAATTTACTTTAGAATGGTACTATGTTTCCCTTTAAAACGGTACTTTGGCCATACAGAAACCGACATTGAACCCAGAACTTTCATCCATCTTGTGCGACACGGAGAGGCATACCACAATTTAGGACACTTCAATGGAAAAATCAATCCCAAATCTTACGATATTCGAGATCCCTACCTTACCTTTAGAGGTATCGAACAAGCCAAATCTACTAGAGAGCAGATGACAAAACGTTGTCCTGTTCCCAATCTCGTCCTCACATCCCCTCTAATTCGCACTCTCGAGACTACACTCCACATTTTCCCTTGCAATGAGGATGTCAGTATCAATTCACAACCTCAAATTGTCGCCTATGATGATTTAAGGGAGAGCGGAGCATACTTATGCAATGTTCGCCAAACAATTACTGATTTAGCCAACAATTATGAGCACAAAGGCGTGGATTTTACTGCTCTATCACCTGTTGTTCCCCCAATGAAAAGTGTTATTCGTACGAAACAGCGTGCGGAAATTGTTCGGAAGCAAATCTTGGTTATTTCAAAGCTTATCAAAGAGGGAGGTGGGCTTTGGAAGGGGGTTTATATACAGGGTACTGGACAGAATATTGGACCGCGTATGCAGACGAAACAGGATACACATATTGTTGTCGTCTCTCATGGGTCTTTCATGGAGTATTTGCTACCGCGTGAGTTATGATACGTTTCTCGTCAATTGTGGCAACGATAACTAATATCATTGACATAGTCTCTCACAAAATCCAGCCAGTTTGGCAAAGATTTAGGCCAGCGGAGATGAGGACATATGTGATGGATGAGGGTGGTCATTTAGACGAGATAGTAGAGTCTAAAAGAGCTAGAAGTACTACTATTTTGCGAAAGGTTAGCTTGATTCTCACTAGCTTTTCAGATTGAAATTATCTTCTCAATTCCTTGGTTTGCAGGCTTTGTGCTAAATTTCGAGATAGGATAACGTCGAAAGGTACCGCTGGAATTTTTTTGAAATATTCATGTGGATCATGGGGTTGCTTTTTTGTGGATTTGGAATCATCTTCAATGTCTTGAGGAAGAACACTTCAAAGAAACTGTGTTTGGACTATTCAGATTCTGGAAATGGATATACTTTAACTACCTAGCTACTTGAGCATTTTTGAGACCCTGATAAACGATTCTCTGATTATAGCTATAGAACCTGCAAGAGTACCAAAGTTAATGGAAGCGAGATCGGTGATTTGGACACAAGTAATGACGGTGCTGATTTCTCAAGGCGACAAGGTTCATCGGAGAGGCTTGCCTCCACCGAATATTCTACCGAAGATAACTAGTATATAGACTTCGTCTCAGGAAATAGGGAAAGTTCTTCCAATTGATAGAACAAGTTTAGGTTACTATCAAAGAAGAAATAAAATAGTATAGTCCGAAAAACTTCGGAAGATATCGGTTGACATCTGATGGGTGGACGTCTGAATGTTTCGGTCAAGCCTGAACATTCAAATCATTCCCCCTCAGATTGGACGAGAGACCAGCACCAGAAAGACATTTCAAAAATCTCACGGGCGTTTCGATAAAACAATATATCATTGAGAAACACAGTATTATCGAGTATCCCCGGTACTGAATTGATATTACTTTAGATACTCTAAAAGATTGCAATATCCTGACACCTTATCCCATCCAAATAAGTGTGAAATCGTTTCTTATCTTACGAAATGATCTTCTTTCCATGTCTAGCATCCCACAATGGATCTTTCTCAACATTCTCATCCCTCTTCTTCATTTGTAGGGTATTCCTCTCTCTCTTTCTGTTAATCACTGGCTTCTTCTCCTTAGTCTTCGAGTTTTTACTCAATACATCTCTCTTTCCATATGGCAAGCCAGCACCTGCAACGCAAGCGCCACCGCCCCAAGCCGCTGTAGCAGCAGCCTCCCAGACCTTCTCTACGTCTGTGATCATGGGTGCTGTCCAATACAATCTACAGTCTGCTTCTTCAACTACGTATTGAGCTGGAAGTCCATCGTTGACATTATCAGGGAGAATGGCATCTCTCAGATTGATTGACGTAGCGGTACTTCTTTCAATTGGGAAGGTTGTGAGACGGTTCAAAATGGCGATATCTTCGGGGGTCGCGTTTGGAGATGAGGCGGCAAATTGTGCATAATAGTATATGTTATCAAAGGAAAGTACTTGTGCTCCTTTGATACCACCTACACCTTGAATGGCGCCGCTCGAAGGTCGACCACCAAAAGCGATGGATTTGACACCTGCTTGAATACGCATGAACTCACTGAAAAGAGTACAGGTTGAGGCGCAGTAGCCGTCGTAGATCATGACGATATTTTCAGCGGCAAATGGTTGGGTCAAGTTACTTAACGATCCATATCCGGAGATCTCAATACCCATACCATATGTGGAGTTCACAGTGGTAAGAGGATCATCAAGGTTCCAGCGCATGAGGTTCGTGTAGTTATCACCCTTGTAAACATGAGGAGCGAACTTATCCTCGAAGGTCAAGAATGGCTGATTAGTCAAATTGTAATCGTATCGGTAGTCGAACCAAGTTTCATACTCGCTGATCAAGTCTGACGAAGCTGTATTTGGGTCATCTTGCATAAAATTAGCTTTTGATGTGGGATTACCAAAGATTAATGCATTTTCACTTACAATCTGCCGGAATATCTTCTGAAAATATCTTGGATATCGTAAGAAACGTATCAGGCTCTCTCATTCTACTGTATCCATCTTGAACTATATGAGGAAAGAGTTGACGGAATTCATCATAGCCTTGCAAAATGTAACCACCACCATTTGCTTGTAAGTCGACAATCAATTTTGTCTTTCCATCTCGAACTGCATCTGCAAGGAAGGCTTGGGTGACGGCTTGGAATTCTGCAATCGAATCGGATTCGAATGCCAAAAGACTCAAGACTGCAACATCCTCGAAACCTGGTTCGCTTAGGTAGTATCCACCGACGATAGTGTCATTAGTGATGACGACGGGCGTTGGATATCCAGTGGCTGTTACAGTAGCGGCGGCAGGCGCTGATGCAGTAGCTTCAGCAGATTCAGTCGTGGATGGCACGCAAAACTTTTGGTAAAATGACTTTCCATCAGTGACACCAGTGAAGTCTCCTTTCACATTGGCATAGTTCTCTGTGACCAAAGTTGTGCCATTTTCGAAGCCAAAGGTAGTATTTGAGCCTGGATAAATGTATCTGATTCGACCACCGGATGCGAAGTATCCCTTAGAAACGCCTGGTGAGTAGAATCAGCATAGCCCACACAATACAATAGTGGAATCGTGTATGGGAAGGGCTATATTTACCTCCTGCAACAAATGCTTTCTCGTAAAACATCGTATTGTATGCAGAATCTGCGTCTTGATTGAAAGAGGCTTGAAAGATCCAATCTTCTACATACTTTACCGCATCAACACCGTTTATTTCTGTGACCTCAGAGGCTTCTGATGGCGCAGAAATAATGTCCTCTAACAAATTGATTAGCACTGTTATTTTGGAATAAGATATTGTCCTCGAACTCACCGTATAGGTAGATTTTGGGAACTTCGACTCCATCACTGCTGATAGACACTAAAGATCTCTGACGGCGCCACTCAAAAGCAGCCGTGAGAAGATCTGGATAGACTACAAAGTGTCCATCGTGTGCCGGGGTAAAGACTTGATACAGATCTTGTTGAAATTCGTACTCATTTGCATACACGCCACCCTTCTCAAGATTTGATTTCACAGAAGCAAGTTTGGCCAATGGATCATATGGAGGATAAAAGTAATCTGCTGGTGGGTCCTTGAGATCCACGAGATCTGCCAAAGTCAGTCAAAGAGTCTACTTTAAGAGCTTCCATTAAGGAGAGTCTAATTGGGCATGATGCTAGAGGCCCCTCCAGTCAAGGTGAATCTTTACAAATATAAAGAGTGACAGATGAAACATACCTGACTGCCATTCAATATATGGCTCTAATCCTGTAACATATTCAATGGCTGCAGTGACGTTCAATGGTACTGAATTAAGACAGTCGTGTGCTAATTTAGCATCAACTGTGGGTGTAGCTAAAGCACAAAACAGTCAGTCTTAAGATCAACAAGATTCAGTGTGACACTGCTCTGTCGTATATTATGCTCAATTCATACAGGAGCTTTAAAAATAGACATTATGTTTGTTTTGGGGATGCGATCTCTGTATATGTAGTCTGACCACTAGGTACATATCTTCACTCTTGAGATCAAATTTTTCATGCGTTTCCACATACCTGATGGGGTGGCGACTTTAGCAACAGATGCTAGACTACTAACGATCCCGCAAGCTGCGAGTGTAGGTGTACCAGTACCAGTAGCTATGCCAGTACCAGTAGCCGTACCACTAATTGTTGAATTGTAGCCGTGTCCGTATCCATATGTTTTGCCTGCCATACTGCATGGCATTCCAGCCAGAACGGCAAGAAAGAAAGCCATATTTGAGGAAGGCATTTTGATTGAAGATCAAAAAAAATGCAAGCCCGAAAATCACCTCGAAAAAGGTAACGGGGAAGACAAGAGAGAGAAACAAGGGAAAGAAAGTGAATTAGAAAGTGAATCAGAGCATTGTCGTTGACATATATATTGATATGTTTTGATTGCCACCAAAGTGGCCAAGATCTTCTAATGCCATATTGGCAGGTTCTACACTCCAATGGGAATTATCATATTCCGACCTTCTTCATCGGGTAAAGTGTGATGGTGCTGCATACTGCCATTACTTATCACGAATCTCGATAAACATGGATAACAGCATTCATTGGAGAGAGACTTGGTAAAAGCTTCATTTCGCCATGCAACCCAAGCTTGATTGGTTCTGTACCTGAATGATCTTCACCATATCTCTTCGCCAAGCAGAGGACTACCTACTGCTGATGAGGCCTGTGAAGGAGCTCAGAGACCAAGGCGGTCAAAACAGGTGAATTATGCAGTACAGATACGAAGTACATAATCTTTGTACTACAGGGGAAGAATTGCTATGACAATCGTGCAATACGATCAATTTTGTTGTTATGTTTAACTGTGATGTATGGAGGAAGGACAAACCATACTTGGGTATACTTTTCGTTGGATGGAACAAAGTTTGAGTTTTGTTAGCTAGCGGCTAGCTGCAAGTTTACCGTTACCGTTCCGCTGCTAATAAGCCACAAGACGTGGCGCCGAACAAACCTAAGCCTTAATTACCATTTTAAGCTATTTTTGTCCACAGGGTATTTGATTGGATAGATAAGATAATCTGCAATAAATGTCCGCTTGGGTGCTTTTTGATTCTCGATTGTCTAATGTTTATTACTTTCCCAACCTTCTCTTTAACAAACAGTTTCAAAAGATCAGAACAAACCACCACGCTTTTGTTTCAATACAAGAGACAATCGAAAAAACTCCTCCAAAATCAAAACTCCTAGTTCCATCTGACATCTCTCATGTCACATCTCACACAATATTCCTCGCCACCTCACTGTCCGCTCAAGCAAATGCGCCACTTTTATATTCCAATCAAAATTCCAACACTCATACAAATCCTTTTCAAGATGTTCATATCAGCCTATGCATTGAGAATATAAAGGCACGGGAACCCTTACCGAAACTGAAAGCTTTGATGCCGACTGCGTTTAGTCCTTCAAAGTTTCTGACCTGGACCACACCACTTTCTCTGTTCTAATCTTTCAGCGACGGTTATTTGAGAAGTCTCGTACGACCAGAGCTGCAATTGGATCTTGTCCCCAGGCTTATTCATATCGGTTGTGTATCCATGTCCACCGGTATTATCGGACCAGGTGTCGTAGTCATGGCCACCTCCCGAACAGTACCCACAAATACCCGATTCTCTAGTACAGAAATCGCAAGTAGGAATTTGGAAATTCGGATGAGAATGTAAATCTGAAAAGCAATTGTCCTCTTCCGTAACTTCGGCATTGGACGACTTCTCATGAGAGGTCAAGGAGTTTGCTTGGATATGGACCTTAGCGGGCGCCTTGCCGCCAATGCCAATAGATTCGTCGACTGTACTTGATACAGTGCTTGCGTTGTGGTTTTTGGTAACATGACTGGTATTGTGCACAATGGACTTCTTTCTGTCGGTTGTCAATTAGTACCCAAGCAATATGAATGTGAACCTGTGCAGGGATGGAAAGCTCACGACATCTTCGTCATTTTGATCCCTGATGAAGTAACTGTTGATCTCTCTCTACAATGCTTACTTTTTGACACAAAGTGGGACAGTGTCATCTTCTTAAGATTTGCTTCAAATTGCCAAGAACGAAGCTCTCTGGAGATTGTTAGTTGGGAATTGGTGGGTCGCAACGATTCGATGACACAACCCATCTTCGAGGTGCAGAGATCCCGCAATGGCCATTCGGTCATTCTTGATAGTGTGAGATACTCAATAGCTATTGGGTCTGACACTAGCCCAGTTTCAATGTTGACGCAGACTCGAGAATTTGAACCCTACAGGACAAAGATCGTGTTAAAAGCTTGTTCCATGTACCGTGAGCGGCACCTGTCATTCGAGAACAATCCTATAGTTCTTGATTCTTAGTGCCAAAATTGGTATCCGTTGGACTAATGAGGCCGTATTACATCCGACAGGTTCGATTTCGGAAGCTTCTGATCCAGTGGAGACCATCTTTATCCCGGGGCAACTCTAGTTCCGCATGATTGCAATCTTCTAAGAAGTCTTAATTTTGTTCAAGCTGCAGATATCATAGTCTAGACGACCAAGGAATTTTTGCGCTGTCGACGCCTTCGCTGGTAGCTCATGAAATTAACATGCAGGCTTCCAACAACACTTCATGAATTGATTACCCTCACTTGCTATCTCTGCTTTGTGCGAATGGCTACCCAACGCACCCTCTTCACGAATTTCTGAGACATCACTCGGGCAATGCCATCGTAATGCAACCAAGACTCTCGTGGAGAACAACAGTGAAATATCTGTTGGGTCAATATGGCAATTTTTCTTTCGCTCCTCATTGCGGGAGTGGTTCCAGGCGACGGATGGCTGCAGCCTCCTCATGTTCACACCTTGGGCGCTTTTGCAGCGTTATTGCTCAGACAGGGCACTGAAGGATTCCGAGTGTCGGTGTGCATAATGCGCGCAGCATGCGTGGTTCTGAATTGTATTTGCGCTGGCATGCGGGAAAATGTTTGTTTGCCTTTCCAACAATCACGCCACTTCTTGCCATGTACATATCTTGGAAGAATTTGTTATTTTAAGATAAGGAAAACGATCCAATTTGCCTACCTGGTGTTCATACAATTACTAGGATTCTGCAGTCTTATGTCAGGTGAACGCCAGCAAAAACCCAGCCATAAGGTAAACGGTTACATTGATTAGGGATACCCAGAACAATGGCTACTTACCTACACTACCAAGACCGACGAGGAAAACTTCAAGTTCACGAAGAAGCAGCGATTTGAATCAGTGTGCAGAATAAGTCCTGATTTTTGGTACCGCATGACGAGAGATGTGCATCAAAACCTCTTTACGCTCCAATTTGGATATTTTATGCGTTCACTTGTTGTTCTTACCGCCCCGAGATGCAAACATTCGTATCACCACACCAAAATCCTCTTGAACACACATCTCAACGTCCAGTATTTTCCAGTGCCAATTTGATGTTGCCCAACTATCCTCCTACTCCTAAAAGGGCCGCCACAAAAGAGGATGCATCTCGTCTTGCTCTGCAGCTCCGTAGAGTTTTGATACCGTCAACCTCGACAATGCCACCAATAATTACTACGTGAAATTTTGAATATGTGCATGTGCAGGTGACTCGAAATAAAATTTGAGTTGGGCTTATTCTCGTTCATCACTACCTAACCTTCTTCTTTCAAGAACTTCACGATTACACTGCAGATTTCATCATATGGAAATGGTAAGACCAAGGGTTCATACAGTGGGGTTTGAAAATGCATGCCCCTGCAGATGTGCGACAATGAAGCTTGTATACCATTCGCAACTTTGTAAAAGTACCACTGCAGTGGTGGGGAAAAGGCTCCGTATAAATTCCGTTTGGCCATCTAGCAACGGTTGTTCCCGATTCGCAGATAATCACATATGATCAAATCTGACATGGCCTATCGAGTAATGACCGGACTGAATTTGCAGTATGAGGTGATGGCATTTTGCATCATTTCCATGTTCCATGTTCCATGTTCCATTTTTCTATTGTTTGGATACATATGTGAATGGTTTGCTCCAGATATAATTGAAATATCTTGTTTGCGGACTCGGACTATAAGACTAATGACTTTATCATCCCATTGGCTTATCACCCTATAGCGATTAACATACAACATCGTATCATGCTATACGATACCACTGGTAGGACCACCTAGCCAAGTAATAATGATGTTTCACCGTTGCCCGTCGTAAAAACTTGAGATGGGAATGCTCTGATGTTCAATTAGTCAATCATCATGAGACAGGTATGCTTTTATGTTTGCCTCGGTAATGTGAGTATTATGAGGTATGCCGCTTCACGTTGTCAATGATGTCTGGACAAGCCCAAGAACCCTGCATTTTGGAGAAAAGCTAAGATGCGGGTACTAATCGTTGCTAACGTCACCGGGAGGGCTAATATGGAAGGAAGCTTAAGCTTTGACCTGTGGTACCTTCTCGAGCTACTTCGAATGCTTACCTGTGCATTGATAGTCGATAGACAATGGTACAATGGTACAATGGAAAACACCTCACAATGGAAAACAACTGATAATTGGAAAAAGGAAAGAGTACATCACATCGAGAATTATTATGAGCAATTCGAAAGTGCAACACAATCAATCACCATAGATCCGGTACTTATGATCAATCATGATATTCAACATCTAATATCTAGCTATTTATCATACGATTTCCCTGCCCATGCCGTGCCATCCATCCATCCATCCATCCATCCATACATCCATTGTCTAGAACTCCCAGGAGGGACAACCTAACCAACCAACCCTAGCTGCTCTATTAGCCTTTACCCCACAACATTCCATCAATCCAATCCTTACCAGCCCTCCGCCAATTCCTCTTTTATCTTCCTAACCTATAAAACTAAACATATATCAATGGCTCCCGACTTAAACTCACTTCCTTCTTCACGTTCATCAAATACTTCACCCAACATGTCCCGCACAGCTTCAAATCCAGGCGATAGCCCCGCACATATGAATGTACGAGCTCAAAGTCCTTCTCCATCACCACGCTCTGCATCCACATCGCTCCAAGCTGCTGCTGCAGTTAACGCGGGCCTTCAACAAGAAGAAAGTACAAGACGTATGTTTGGTTTCTTTATTCACTCCTTTAACCTACCACAAATAATCGATCAACACAAAAACGACGGCTAATTTTATACGTAGGTGGTTCTACAAGCCGGCATAGACAAGCTTCGACAGCTTCTCACTCAGGCAGAAGACGATCAACAGTTCTGAATGCTTTACAAATGAATGACCCAACCTTACCACCTCAAGGAGAAATCGTCAGTGAAAGCCAAAATCGTACAGCCAGCCCTATGTCACTCACAGGGTCACCCATCACTGCAAGTGGTGATCATCGACATTATCGCGCACCTAGTCTTGGCGAAATTCATCAGGAATTGGAACAAGAACAAGAAGCTCAAGTGGTAAGTTACTGTTCTATCAGACGATGTGCCGAAATTGCCAGCTCACTAGTTGATTTCTCTTTTATTCAGAATCGCCTTTTGCATATGATTCGAACTCAACAACAACAACTCCAGCAATTACAAGCTGCTAGTGGTCAAGCGTCTGGTTCTGTTGCCATAGATGAATCTACCCCAACATCTGAGCGGTCTCTATCGTTTTCGACACAAAATATCCCACCAAATGTTACCTCAGCAGTCCAAGCTCCCCGATCACCTGTTACTGTAATGCATCCTCGGACTTCCTTCGATGTTGCACGAGAAAGTCTAAACCGGCGATCCAGAACACCTAGTCGAACTGCATCTCCTAGGTTGAGGTCTACATCTATAAGCAATGAAGGGGGAGATGCATGGAATCTAGGTGGTCGTGATGAAAGTGCATATTATCAAGCCGAAACCCAAACAATGATTCGAGAGAATCAAATGTTGCGTCAAAGAATTCGGGAATTGGGTAAGTTAAACTTTATCACATCTCTTCAATATCCCTTCATACTAACTGATAATGATTAGAGCGGCAAGTTAGTGAACAACATGCAAATTCCTCCATAACACACGAACCTGCCTTGAGTTCCCATCTAGCATCCTCCACCTCGTTCTCTGAAGAAGCAACACCACCTGTTGCACCAGCAGAGGAGCCAAAACAAGATTGACACAACACAAACACTCAGAGGCTTTCTTTTTGTATGGGAAATACTGCGGACTAGAGGAGAGGCGTAATAAGTGATTCCACGGATCAAGTGTATCCAAACAGTAAACTTTACGAAACTTTGGCGTTGGTGTGTTTATTAGTACGTTTATTGTTGGGCAGTAACGAAGCTACCTAAGAGTCTAAAAGCGCGAGAAGATTTCTTATTCCTAGAATCAAGATTTAACAACAACTCAACCCGTAATGAATAATATTCTTTCAGGACTATGAGATTTAATTCAAAGATGAAGATAGTGACAGCCTTGTCTTTGAGCCTTGTGAACCCCTGCATTTGCACGGAAGCTCCCCGCACTCGTGCTATTGCATCATTACAATCTTATGCAACGACAAGCCATTGAATCCTGATAGACTAACAGCTTGAAATTAGAGCTCATTGATCGAATAAAAAGTTGTGAATATGTTTCGCAGCTGCATTCGAGGTCAACTGACCTCAAAACTAATGCAGCGACGATGTTTCACAAGTACTATCTCACGACAGGCTGATTTTACACATGCTGTATATCCCCTTCCATAGTACCAACGATATGTTCTTGCAATTGAATGCTAATTTGCTAAGGTCATCGGTGGAGGTGCAGTAGGCCTTGCAATTGCGAGGCAATTGGCAGGTAGAGATGGGGCAAGCACATTACTTCTCGAGCGAAATAGTGCCGTGGGAATGGAAACCAGTTCGAGGAATTCTGAAGTCAGTATCTCTCTCCTGATATCTCTGTTATGTCATCATTGCCCAAGAATATATGTCGAGATATTCAAATCAACATTTTCACTCAGCTGATAGCCTTTCCATCAGGTTATCCACGCTGGTCTTTATTACGGCGCCGATTCCCTCAAAACCAAACTATGCATTCGTGGTCGTCAAATGCTCTATACCCTCTGCGCCCAATACAACATCCCTCACAAAAACATGGGCAAATGGATCGTAGCCCAAACAGACCAACAATACGAAGAACTCATCAAAGTCCACGAGTTCAGCAAAACGCTCGAGAATGTCCCCACGCATTTCGTATCGTTGAAACAGGCTGCCATCGAAGAGCCATACGTGCGCGCACACACGGGGATTCTCGCGAGTCCGTCGACGGGCATCGTAGATTCGCATGCGTATATGCAATTTCTGCATGGAGATTTTGAGGAGCGGGGTGGAGATACCGCGTTGAATAGTAATGTGGTTGCGATTACTCCATTAGGTGACAAGGGAAGTATGGGCTGGGAAATCCTCGTGCGGGATAAAGCGAGCGGGGAAGAAAATACCTTTAACGCGGAGAGTATAGTTAATTCCGCGGGCTTGGGAGCGTGCGCTGTGAATAATATGATTTTGCCGCCGGAACAACATCTCACGCAGTATTACGCGAAGGGGAATTATTTCTCCTATTCCCCCAGTACGCCCACGACGAAACATCTTATTTATCCGGCGCCGGAGCCGGGGCTCGGGGGGCTGGGCACGCATCTTACGCTTGATATCGCGGGACGGATTCGTTTTGGTCCGGATGTGGAGTGGGTTGATAGCGCGGAGGATTTAGCGGTTAATAGTGCGCGGTTGCCGCAGGCGATAGAGCAGATACGACGGTTTTTGCCGGATGTGAAGGTTGAGGGGATTCGGCCGGATTACGCGGGCATTCGACCGAAGTTGGCGAGGGGAGGGGCGGTGGGGAGTGGGAAGGGGTTTCAGGATTTTGTGGTGAGGGATATGAGGGGGGAGGGGTGGAGCGGGTGGGTGAATTTGCTGGGGATTGAGAGTCCCGGGTTGACGAGCAGTTTGGCGATTGCCGAGGTGGTGGAGGGGGAGTTGTATGGGTAAGTGAGGCGTAGGGAATGGGAGGGGAGGAGAGAGGGTGGCGAACTACGATGATATGATGAGGGATACGTTTGGATATGACTATACTTGCCGAGAGCAGAGAGATGGAAGCGAGGGCTATACGCAAAAGCGAGGCAAACGGTGTGCGATAAATATAGCAGATTGAAAATATCAAACTATTGGCGAGCTGCAGAAATAAAGGATACAGATCCCTACTTCTAACAATTTCCATTCCGATCTCTTTTCATTGCCCAAGTAGGTAGGTAGGTATTTGAATATACAGAACTACTTACTTGGGTGGATAATCTATTCAGTCCAACCTGATTCGATATGATGTTCCTCTCCCAAATCAATCTTGATTGATAGATAGATAGATTTGCACTTTTCACCTGATATATGCTATCCGATCTGGTCTAATTAGAAGTTTCCTCGACTTTGCAACTTACATCTCTATCTAATATCCATATGAATCTATCCATCTCATTTCATTTTATTGCATCTCATCACATATCACATACTACCAAGTATTCATACATACAAACCCGTATACACAAGAACGCGGCACTTCACAATCTCATTCACAATCTCATTCACAACCTCATTCTCGTTTTCATTGTAATATTCGTGTACCTTTCTCCACTCCTTTCTCCTCCTCTCCCTCCCTTTCCTTTTCCGTTCTTTTCTCGTCGCAACAAAACTCATCCCCATACTCATTCTCAAACCACGCATTATCGAATCCCCCTCTCTTCCCAACCCAGGTATCCTATCATATCCTACAAGTACAAGTACAAGTTTCATTCATGCATACCAACCAGCATACCATCATCACCATCATTCCTCCCCTATCCATCCATCTTTCTGCTGCACTTTTTTTCAAAACAGAAAAAAGAGAAAAGGTGACAGGATGAGATACAAGACAAGAGAAGACAAGACAAGCCATAACATAAAAATGCTCTTTCTCACGAGCTCAGAATCTGAATCTTTATTATAAAAAGGGTAAAAAAAGTGAAGAAGAATATTATAAATACAAGCGAGAAGTAATGTAAGCAGGTAATGTAGGTAAAGTAGGTAGGTAAACTTAATCCCTAAAACCCCATAGAAAGAAACATAAGCTCATAGAATCCATATCCATCCATCATACCAATGCCCTATACCTTTTACACAAAAAGAAGAAAGGAGAATCAAGTCTTTTGTTCCCCTATCTCTCCATCTTGATCCGATGCCTTTTCCTCATCCGTAGTATTCGTATCTTCGTTTATGTGATTGGTTGATGTTGATATTTTTGAAGCTTCTTTTGCTGCAGCGGATTTTTTTGCTTTCTTCTTGGATTTCTTGGACTTTTTGGGAGGGGTTTCTTTGGTGGTGGAAACTTCTTTGGGCGGAGATGTGTGTTCATCTTCGCTGGAATTATCCTTCTGCTCTTGTACTTCTTGCTCCTCTTCTGTTTCTCCGCTACTTTCAGTACTAGATGGCTCTGAAGCCGGCTCTGGTTCTGATTCTGGAATTGGGTCCTCAATGACTGTCTCTGACTTCTCTTCGCTAGCATCACCATTCTCTTGTTCTACCTCCGTCTTGTCCCCCACTGAATCACCAGACATACTATCCCACGACCCTGTTGAATCTGCTTTCGAATCATTATCATCATGGATAACAGTCTCAGAATCTTCCAGCTCAGATTCCAGATCTTGGATCGTTTGCAAACTTAATTGTTCTTCCTCTACTACCCCATTATTCGTCTCCTCGGGTTCCATATCATCATCTGGATCCACCTCCTTAACGGTCTCCACAATAACGGGTATCTCTATCTCTGTTTTAGTATCATTTTCCGTCTCTCCGTCCTCTCCCTCTTCCTCCGCAATTCGTGAATTACGTGCAGCCCTTAATCTTTGAGTTATGTCCCCTTCTTCCTCATCAATTTCCTGAACTGTCGTGATTGCCGATCCCACTGAAGGTGATTGTCTAACATGCCTTCTAGTAGTATTTTGTCTTCCAAGCCCTAAGAAGTCTTCCTCAACCCCTACTGGTGTCTTCAAAATCGATGTAACCGCCGGTGGTTTATCCTCAACATATTCCAATCCCTCTGCTTCTGGTGGAAGCTTATAGTTCTCTGGCGGCAATAGCTCATGCATATCACAAACCGTCTTAAACAAAACATAAAGACCTGTCTGACCCTCAACCTGCCAGAATACTCCCCGATGTTGAAACCACGCATGCGCAAATATTCGATGTAAGCGTCTGAAAATATTAATTAAATGTTTAACACCAGCCCCTCTATCATCCATCGCATCACCAGCGGCCATACTCAAACGACTTGGAAATATCTTTTGACTAGTTACAATATTTGTAGCCCAGTCCAAGGTATGACAGCAGTAATCAATCGCGCAACAACTTTTGGGTGATTCGTGTACGGCGCAAAGAAACTGCCATTCGGAAGCGCGCATTTCTGGACATGTATGTGCGGAACAAGGAGGATCATCGAAGAGGAATCCAATTATTAAATCATTACATTTGTTGATTAAGAAACGACAGAGTTCGTAAAGCCATAGAGCTTGGTCGAGTCCATGTGGTGGTGTCGCTATTTCGACAGCGGTTTCGCGGGTTATGGGGATGCTATGGTCTTTGGAGGGAGGTTTAGTGTGATAGTAATGGAGCGCTTTTAAATGTTCTTGTAGTTGAAATGCTGAGTCGAGCTGTATGATATTCAAAATGAGTTAGCAATGTCATCATAATATAGATGCGACGTAGCCTTTGAGCTTAAAATCAGGAAATCAGGAGGTACCAACCTCACTCAAAGGTATGAGAGGTGGACCAGCAGCCATATCAGCAGCTTTTGTTCCAGGATGTATCCTTCGACTAGCATTTGTTTCTATAATACTTTGCTCAATCATTTGTTCTTGATTTGAGGAAGCACTTCCAAGGGACGGCGATTTCGGACCAATCTGGATTTCTGTAGGAGGAGGTGGGCTGGGAAGCCGTGGAGAGCTTGGTGGGAGACTAGACATCATGATCAACCCCTCGAATTGACTTTGTAAATCTTTTACATATGCCAAAAATTGATGCGCTCGAGGTTGCGACTTGGAGGAGTTGAGTTTGTTTACTTTTTAACGAACGATAAATTGAAAGTTGATGGGTGTGGATTAATATTACAGTATTACAGTAATACCGGTAGTAACGCGCCAATTTCTTCAGATCCGCGTCAACCAATCAAATCTTATGGTTCTTTAAATAGTGTCGGGAACTCTAAATTGGGTGCAAGGACGCTGAACTTTCACAAGGCTGTAGAACATGTGAGGAATAAGGGTTTTTTATATTTTGTGGGAAAAACGATTAAAATCAAAATCAAAATCAAAATCTTCTTCAAGTAGAGAGAGGCAGAGAAAGAGACAGAGAAAGAGAGAGATACTAAAGAATAATCTATAATATTTTACTTCTTTGATAGACGTTTACACATACCTCACCTACTCCGGGTACATATCCATCATGGACGTCGATGATGATATTCCCATGCTAGTTGATGTGGAAGGCAAAGAAGTTAATGCAGAAGAAAAAGAAGCAAAACCCATCAAAGTACCAATTACAATTGTCACAGGCAAGTTCTATATGTATACCTAGATATTTGAATGAAAAAACATAACTAACTATGAATTTGAAGGATATCTTGGTGCTGGAAAGACCACTTTGATGAACTATATCTTGAACGAACAACATGGGAAGAAAATCGCTGTGATATTAAATGGTATTCATTCTTCACATTATACATACTCTTCAAATCCTGTACCATACAATGTAACACTTCACTAACTATTTCTGTAGAATTCGGTGATTGTAAGTTGGAAAACTATAGATCAAGTGATCTTCCCAGTCTATAAGTCAAGATACGAATGTATCATAACTCGGAGCTATTCCCTCTGACTTATCATATTCTAACTAACATCTTCGCCATCCAGCCGCTGATATTGAGAAATCTCTTACTGTCAACACGGGCAGTGAGCAAGTAGAAGAATGGCTCGATGTTGGTAATGGCTGTATCTGTTGTTCCGTAAAGTAAATCCCCACGCTCTTCTTTTCCCCATCCCCATCTATATATCCCTTCCCCATCCCAACCATACCTCACCAACACACCCCCAGAGACTCCGGCGTCAACGCCATCGAAACCCTCATGGACCGCCGCGGCGCCTTCGACTACATCCTCCTCGAAACGACCGGGCTCGCCGATCCCGGCAACCTCGCCCCCCTCTTCTGGGTCGACGAAGGTCTTGGAAGCACCATCTACCTCGACGGAATCGTCACTCTCGTCGACGCAAAAAACATTCTCAAATCACTCAACGAACCCATCCCCTCGGAAATCCCCTCGGAAACACCCAATCAGAACAAATCCCACGCCAGCGCCGATGCCAATTCTGATTCTAACGAGAAACACGACCATTCCGGTCCTCATCTCACGACCGCCCACCTCCAAATCTCTCACGCCGATGTTCTCATCCTCAATAAATCGGATTTGGTAACTCCGGAAGAATTGGAAATCGTCAAGGAGAGAATCACAGCTATAAATGGCTTGGCAAAATTACACATTACGGAATTCGGCGCAACGCCCCAATTAGAAGGTGTCTTGTTGGATTTGCATGCGTATGATAGAGTCGATTTCAATCTGGAGGAAGTAAAAGCAAAAGGGCATAGTCATTTAGATCCTGTGAGTTTTAATTTTCACTTTCTGATTTCCACTTTGTCTTCCCCATCTCATCTATCAAAACATTCCAAATCAACCCCCCTCCCCATTCCTCCCCATCTCCTGCCAAAACAGAAACAAAACAAAACGAAACTAACATCTCAACCCCCACCCAGACAATCACCACCCTCACCCTAACCACTCCACCCCTTTCCCCCACCAGCCTCCCCCACCTCGACGCCTGGCTACGCTCTCTCCTCTGGGACTCTCGCATTCCCTCCCCATCCCCATCCCCATCCTCGCTGACCTCCTCCTCTCTCCCTCATACAAACCTCTCTCTCCCCTCCCCCGAAATCCACCGCCTAAAAGCCCGTCTCCCCCTCACAAATAACACCACCAAAATCATCCAAGCCGTGCGCGAGGTATTCGAGATCCTGGATGACATATCTCCCCCTTCCTCTCTCCCCAAACCCACAACCACAGCCGAGATTGCACCTCCACCCCCCCAAAACGAAATGGAATCCGATGGCAACAGCGAGGGAAAAATCGTATTAATCGGAAGGAATATTAGAGAGATGGAAGACGTACTCCTTGAAAGTTTTTTGAATTGTGTGGTGGAGGAGAAGGGGTGTTAGTTAGGTGGAGATGTTGCATGTTGGATGGGGGATGGGGTGTTTTAGATTTTAGATGTTAACACCAATATCAATATCAAGATAAATCCATATACCACAAACTCTAAATAGGATTCTAGATTCATCTCTCCATCTCTCCATCCATCTCACTATTACACACAAATATCTCACTACCACACACATATACCAACCCAAGTACAACACAATCCTCTCATTATACCATTCCAAATCGCATACATAGAACATTAGCATCATATACATCTTCTCCTTTCTATCCTACCCTTATTTGTCATTCATTCATTCATTCATTCATCATCATCATCATCATTCACAATAAATCAAGATACAACCGCCACACACACCTGCACAAACAAACAAAAATTCCCCTCAAATCCAAATCACCCAAAACACATATGAAAAGATCAAAAAAAAAATCTCATAAAAACAATATCTTATCATGGTCATGTTCATATTCATGTTATAGCATAAAGCACCACTCAAGAAACTTTATCTTTTCTTCTCTTATCTTCCAAGTTTTTTTTCCTTGGTCTATCCCCCTTCCCCTATTTCTCTCTTCGTTCTCCATTTTCCATCCTTATCTCCCACTCCCCCTACCCCTTCACACTAACCACTATCCCTCAATATTTATCCCACCTCCCCTTTTACCATAAACAGAAAAGAAAAATAAAGACGAATAGTCTTTCCTTCCATCCATCCATCCATCCATTTCTCTCCCGCCCACCCCATCTATATTTGTATAGCAACACCCCACCCAATGAATTTATTCGTCCCTCCCACAATAAAAGAGGACAAACTATAACCCCAACGCCAGAAATGCTATGTACATGTATCTCATTCGTCGATTATGCTTTGCAATGCAGTGCTGGAAAGCCGCTCATCGAAAGACGAAAAAATCAAGTAAAAAGACTGCGCAAAAAAAAATGTAAAATGAAAAAATAAAGGCCATAACATCAAAATGATGGCCAGTCCCCCAAAAAGCTTCTCGATGCTCCATTAAATGCGTTCATTTCCGGGTAAGACTTCTCGAGCCGATGTTCATTCGTACAGTATGTGATACTGTATTCTCCTGGTTTCGAAAAGGAAATCTCGTTTTCGTCATCTCCAATTGATCCTTCTGCTGGGATATATTCAGGTCCAAAAGTAATATCGAGGGAAATCTATGCAATCGCTAAAAGACAACTGATCGTTTCAAAGCCTCTGCCAAGGCCTAAATACCTGCTCTCGAAGTAATAATACAACTGGTGCCCAAGATCGATGAAGTGGTGAGAGGTATTTTAAAAGGGGGTTTGTCGTGAAGCCAATTGGCAATTATCTAAGTACTACCTGTTAGATTTGCTAGCAGATCGTTCAGGTAAGTTGTACCGTTGTCCATTTGGAGATATTGAATCGAAATCGTAATTCTTAAGAGTTTGTTCATATTTTGAGCTCTTCATGAATTTTGGTACGGAGTCCTATGATTGATTGTTAGAAAATAATCGATGATTGCACATACACAGTACTTACACTAGCCATCAACTTGAAGACAGATAATTGAGCCTCTTCAAATAACTTTGTGACTTCCTTCAAACTCTCAACCATAGCAGCATCTTGTCCGACAGCCTTGGTCATTCTAGTTGCCAATTGATTTCTGAGCATATGATCGATGTTAAGTTCGCAAGGTGAGCCTGGAGCTAAGAATGCATTGTAAATACCATAGGCCGATGCCATAGTTTCCTTGACGGAATCGAGACTTCCTCCTGATTTGCCCCTGGTTGGGTCTACATTTCTTACGGCTGCTTTGCACGACTTCAAGAATTCCTCGACATCTAGATAGAAAGACAAGTTCTCCTCACAATGGGTGTCCCGAAGGTTTTCGCGGAAAAGTAAACGAAGTGCGGCATCATTAAGAATTTTGTCCAACTTTTGAGTATTCGAATCTCGGGACACACCAGCTCTCACTGCTGCTGAACTTCCTTCGCTCTCTGAAGTACGATCTCTTGAAGTCATATTGATCACATCCTTGCCTTTTTGTGATAATTGATAGTAGGCATACTTTGTAGGCTGGAATCGGAAATCCCTCTTATCATCTGAAGGAGGAGTTGTTGCTGGTATTGCCTGTCGGGCTGAACACACCAGATTAGTTCTTGCTCCAAAAATAGCGATGCAACTTCTGTGGTTTCCCGTCTGTCCACCGTAGTACAACAATCCATCAGCCAGTCACAAGCGGCCTTTCCAGTAAATGTTTGATAAACAGTTCTGGGTGGCGATCCAACTTTACGCTCTCCTGCCATTCTCACACCAGCAATTCCATCCTTGTACTCGCTCAAAGAATCCGAATCAGCTGATGTGGTGCTGGTCTTAATATTCGGTCCATTTTGACCAACAAACCTGCGGAAAATAACCTCGATTGTGCTTCGATCCGAGGAAAGTTTATCCGTAGCAGAATCTCTTTCTAGAATAACCAACTGCATTGTATTCCTTGGGGATGCGACAAGTTCTGCGACATGTCTTTGTTGTATTCCGTTCTTCGAGCAAAATCTTTCCAAAACATGAATACCTTTTGGCGTCAACTGCCATATGGATCCCTTCATTGTGAAATCCTTTGCTTGCTTTCCGTCCGCAGATTCGATAAATCGTGCATCTAGGAAACGCTGACATACTGATCGAGCCATTTCCCGCGCCATAGAAAATGTTGTGGTCGTGGTGGTGGTGACAATACGTGAAGGGTCTTTTGGATCTGGCATACGATTCGATTGTGAGAATTTTAAAGAACCCAAATTATTGATAGCCTCTTCTGAAAGAAACGAATGTTCCACTCTAGTTAATCGTATGCGGTGCGCTGCCAGTGGTAAACTGACTACTAACGTTGCGAATAAATCTTTGAAATCCTTGTCCAAAAGTCAGCATCAATCTTGGCCTCTCGAAACATCAACACATCGTTACCAATACATACTCTAGTGAATGGCCTGTCATCGCTCGTCATGCGCAACAAGCGCGACGATGTTTGATGCATCTTGCTTGAATTTGTCGTCCTGTGATTTGAGTGGATCAACGGTGGGGTATCTGCAGCAGTATTCGAGTACGCCTGCGAGGGAGGGTTGGTACCAAGTAACGACTGACGACGACCCAGAAAATGGGAGGAAGTTGGATCCTCTGAAATTGTGTTGGAGGCAGTCGATGTCGAGTTTTCGCAGGGCGAGGAAGATAAATCTGTGTGATCTATGTTGCTTCCTAAAACTTCTGCCGACTTGGACCTATTTTTAATACTATTCAAAGGAGTGTTTTGATCTAGATGTGAATCTAAAATATTGCCTGATGAAGGACGTGAACGTAACGCGGGTTCAGCCAAACTTGCAATTGCGTTGCTAGTTTTGTCTCTTGCCAATACAGCTAAGGTGAACAAGCCACTTCGGTTTTGTCTTAATGAGCTAGTCGATTGACGATTTTGCTTATGAGAGGTAGTATTATTAGACGTGCGAGGTATCAGTTCCTTTGAACTCGATTCGCGAGGTATCAATGAAGATTTTGAATCAAAAGTTAGAGGCCGAACCGACAATTTTACTGAAGATAAGAAATTTGAGGAATCTCTCGTCAAAGTTTGACTTGTTTCGCCTTCTCGAATGGATCTATCCGAAAGTGGTGGTAGTGAACTTGAGGCTGAGGTAGATGATGTGGTGGAAGTGGAAGTGGATGTGGATGTGGTGGAAGTGGGTGTGGTTGTGGTTGTAGATGTGGTTGAGATATGTGTAGGATTGGATTTATGGGTAAGAGAGGACGGGACAACACGATCTTGAAAATTACTTGTGTCAATCAAATTCGAAACCGAAACCGAATTTGAGTTTGAGTTTGAATGAGATCCGGAATGGAAAGAGGAATTGGGAGTTTTAGAGATGGTGGAGGTGGAAGTGGAAGTGGAAGTGGTGGTATTTCTCGTGGTAGTGGTGGTAGTCGTAGTGGTGTGGGGTGAAATAGAAGGCGAGAGAGCCATCTAAGGTTTTTTTTTCTCTCTCTAAATCCGCAACTAATATAAATATTTTATTAATAAAAAAAGTAAAAATAAAAATAAAATAAAGTATACCATTGAGAAAATCTATAACCGCAAGTCTGTAATGTTTTCCAAGGACGGAGGGAGGGAGCAAGGAAGGCATGAGAAGAGAATTAATGGAGAACGTACCAGGATAAGGGAGGAACCTTGACACATCTGTCTTGAATTTGCGATTATCCACGCTTGTACTGTTTATTTTATTTATTTTGGCCTGGTCTGGTCTCGTTTGCCTTCTTCCTCTCTTCCTCTCTCTCTCGCTCTCTCTGTCTCTTTTTCCTTTTTTTTACTCCTGGTGCTCCGTTCAAGGGATTGAAGTGGAGGAATCGGTAGAGGAAGGAAGGTTTAGGTTGTGTTTTGTTTGAGTGGGTTTTTGCTAGGTGATGGGCGATGATGCTGGGTACTAGATGTGGGCGATGGGTGCTAGGTGCTAGGTGCTAGGTGCTAGATGCTGGGTGCCGATAGATCAAAACTCTAGGTACGGATACAGACAGGCAGGCAGACAGACAGACAGGTACCAGCTGCGGATTAAGTTGTCCGTCCCAAAATGATTAGAGCTAGCGAGTAGTGAGGGTCTAAAAAAAGAGCCGGAGAGCTGGAGGGATAGAGAGAGCTGGAGATTGGGATAGATGCGTCGAGGTAGGGCGGTATTCGGTGAACAATTGCATCAATGTGAACCAAGTAAGTAAGAGAACCTCCAGACTAGTGTGAATGGAGATTAGATTGAAGGGTTTAAGATTGGATTGGAGTATTTAATTACTTGAATAAGAAAGCAAGCAAGATATCTGAGGGTTTCAAAAAAGGTTAAAAGAGGGACAACAGAGATACCTCGATAGTGTGTAGATACTAGATGGAAAGAGAGGGTCGGTCCGCAGATGAAGGGAATTTTGCACACAAGATGGTTTTGTGCGTACGTGCATGTATGTGTATGCGTGCGTGCCATGAAGGAAGGACTCAAGGAGACAAGTCAAGACTCAAGAGTGACAGAATCAAGCTAGGCACATAGGAACGGCTAGCTGGCTAACTGTGAAGAGAACTGATGGGTGAGTATCACTTCTTAATTGATTTGCTAAGCATTACTACCGTGATGAGTAAAATCTATCGGTTCTGGATTGTTGGAACCCTGGCTGGCACATCTCATCCATACCTCAGAATATGCTTACTCGACCTCTCAAGTTCTCCAAACCCTGGATGGATTGGATGGAATGGTGACATCCGCCAGCATTATTTATGCAGCAAATGCAGCAATGGCAGTAAAGAAATCAAAAGGAAAAAAGAAAAGCGGGAAACCTCGTTCTAAGCACGAGGGTTACTGGGACCCACAAGTAGCGTGCGTCCGGCGTGTTTTCTCGGTAGTGTAAAAGAACAAGGGGGATTGATTGATTTGTTCTATGCCTCAACATGTTGTGTACACACCTTTTTTTAAATGAAACACAATTAATTGGTTGGATGAGGAAAAGCATGGAATCCCAATGGGGTGTGCAACTAATCTATATCCAGTATGAAATCATATGAGTGGAGCGCACTTTTGACATCAAGAGTGGAACTGTTCCTTCAACTGTTCCATGGGGGTCTACTTTCTGCTTCTTTTTGCATCTGTACTTGTAATGATCAATAGACTGAAGAGGGAGGGGCTTTACGATGCAGAGTACATACGGTGCATTGTATCCAGATCTAGGAAGAACAGGGAAGCCATATTCAACACAAGTACAGTCGAATCTACAATCCTACCGATAGACATAAATTCTCACTCTCATTCTCACTCGCACTCTCATCTTACTCTCATCTCACTCTCACGCATCCAACTCCGAATCGGACTATGACCAACACCCGATATCACCTATCCCCGAGCCGATCTTATAATTACAGAAAGGTAAAATACATGGCTTAGGTCTTTTCCTTCACATGTACTTTACTGTACGCAGTAAGACGATTATGCCTTGTATGTCGTAGTGATACTAGTAACACTAGCGATACTCTAAAAAAAATTCAACATACATACTATTTCATCAGACATCCGTGAAACGAACCAATGAATCACATGGCGGCAAAATGTGCTTTCATAAAGGTTGTCACAACTCGTGGGCCGTAAGCACACTAATCCTTTTTTTAAGTTAATGCCAGGTGAATCTATCTTATTTTCTCGTTTTTTACTCGTGGCAGACAGGGATCTAGATTGTCATTCATAGGATGGATGGGCAGAACCCTTGATGGATTTCTTGCGGCCAATGATTCTGCTGCGTTGGTGTACAGAGTAGTATCTGTGGGTTCTTATATAATGCCATTATTACTACCGGTAATAAGTAGACCTGTCTATCGTCTATTCCTAAACAATACCGAGTAAATGTTCATCTAGAACCATGAGGTATGGCACACTCAACACTGATACTGTTTAATAGGTACTGGTATCTTACGATACTCCATCTTTGGGAGGTAACAGGTATGGTATAAGCTTGAAGCAATCCATAAATCTGAGACTTCCATAATTCTTAGGGTTTCAATTTTTCAATTACCCATCAATACTAGTCAGCAGCTCTCCAGTCAGCAGCTCTCCACCCATCAAACAAACCCCCCCTCCCAGAGCCAGGACACATGGTTAAGAACGGTACAACCCTGAGATAAGAAGATCTTCCAGCTCTGTTGATCTCTCCAATTTTAATCTTCTTCTTTCTGCTTCTTGGGTTCTTCTTGACTTTCGTTCTTTAGTAAGTGATATGTCTCTCTCTCTCTCTCTCTCCACCACTGGCTTCTTCCGTTGAATCCAGGGAATACGAAATAAACTCTCCATTCTAAGTTTCGGTGTGAGAACCATTTCAGCAGTCGACAAGCTTGAGCCTTGGTGATGATGAAATATGTCTCTCTTTGACGATCCGGGTTCAGCCTGCGCGCGAAACGAGGATTGGCAACATGCCAAACATATGCGAAAATCGCACCATCAAATCACTCTCCCTTCCGGCAGTTGTTCTGAAACCACACAAACAATGCCATTTTACAGGAACCACCATCGGCAATAACCCTCAAGACACGCATTTTCCATTTGATTTTCACTTGTCAGAATGGTGCTGTGCATCTGTACTTGGTACCGTACGTACCTTTAATTTACAAGTCCAATCTCATGGGCTTGGCACTACCTATGGACGGCTAGATAGCATGATCGAGTCCACCCTGGAAAATGACCACCGTATAACTGGAGCAGTAGCAGTAGCAGTAGCAGAGAAATGTTATCAGTAAGCCTACATGGCACATCGGTGAACATGTCTGTGTGTAAGGTTGTGCTCACAGTACCAAGCACGATGATGCGAATGTCCGAAAGCCACGCTTTTCCCGCGTACATGGAATCCAACAATGTGCCTCGCCGTGCACACGTTGGTTGGATCGAAAAAGAGCGCAGCGTAGTTTTCTTCTTCCATTCGAGGCCGCTTTGCAGGTCGCGTTCGCGTGCACGAAACTTACTCAGACCGCCACCAAATCTCCCCCCTCGTTCCGATATGGGGATGCGTAAAGACAACAATGTATAGTATGTACCTATCCCAAATGAAATACGACACTCTTGCGCTAATAGGACGGGAGTCATGCAAGCTCTGTCAACGGTCTGCATGGCTAAACATGTCAGCAAGGCGCGCGGGTTCATACGGTGGTAGATGCGCCTTCGCACTCAACCGCAAATCACCATCATCATAGTATCATTATTGTATACAGTATAGTGTTCTACCTAGGGAGGCCCATTTATAAACAAAGGTGTGAAATGAACGGTTGTCACGAGACGGCCTTCGCTCTTCGGTATATTAAATTTTTTAAAAAAGGGTTTGTTGAAACTGTTGAATGCTCTGTACTCCACACAGAAAGGCCCCTCAATTTCCATCATGGTTCTAGAAACCCCGGGTAGGGCAATGGCAATTATGGAATCAATACGGCATGAATGTGTTTGGCGCTTCATTTCCATTTGTCACCGCCCGATGAACTGGGAAGGATTTTGGAGGCCTGTGGAAAATATTCTGATGTCTGATTATCCCTGTCCGTCAACGACCAGCGTTTCGAGAGGCGGTGAAGTATAAGAAAAAGTTGGGCTATTGAGAAAGCGGCAAAGTGCGACGATCATCCAGTCATCGGCCTTTTGCTCGCAATTAAGAAAAGATGCGTGGGTGGGCGGTAAGGTTAGATATGGATATTAATATGGATATCAACTTGTCAAGTGATTTTATCATGTTTTAGTATCAATAGTTGGGAACTTTGAACAGATGATATGCACCACATCACCGCCAAATTGAAGACAAGTTCACAGTCTAGAGGGTAGGCCGAAATGAGCTTGGCAACATGTGCTTGTGGAGTTCAACCAGGGAGGAAGAAAAAGAAAATGGGATGAAGACGTATTGTTTTCGTACTCCTAGTCGCATTGGGTTGTCACGTTGCTTGTCAGTGAATCCCTCCTGGCCTTCGCAAATCCCATGGGAAGAGGACGGGCTTTGGGTATGCAAGACTAAAGGTACCCAGTATGTCAACGGCATTGAGAGATCCCCTGGTTCATACAACTGTACGAAATAATCTCTCCTTTTATCCTTCTCCGACCTCATACTATGGAGGAGGCACTCCGTCGAGCGGGCTAACATCCAATACGCATAAAGGAATGCTGCACAGACTCCGTTTACCATCACAGCCCGGCCGCCCGTCCTAACTCTTCTTGCCTTCTCGCATATCCTGTAGCAGCATTTTGATGCGCATAATTTATCTTGTTATTGTGTTCGTGGGTTCGCGGATTCGTTTTAAAACTAGTAAGGGGAACGGAAGAGGGGAATACCCACACTCTTTGTAGGGTCCAGTTGAGTCGATTCATGAAATTGTGACACAAGAAGAAGAAAGAATTTGGTTCGAGGGTTGTAGCGAATAGAAGCTGGAAACCATTATTGGTTGATATGGATTTGTGAAATATCGAAAGGAAAACGCCTTGA